AAGGGCCAGTCCGCTGGTTTTACACATGAAGATCAGGTTACTCGTCAGGAGGAGACAGCTACGACTCAGCTGTGAAAACTGTTGTATCACATCCTCTGGTCCAGTATCCAAATATTAGACACAAACAGAAAATATGCATAGCAAACCAGAGACATCACCAAGTTACCTCATGGGAAGTGTAGTACAGGAGGTGCCCCAGCATGATGGAAGTACGATTCTTAATCAGTGGAGTACCTATGTAACATCAATGTTCAGTACCAATGCAGGAAGTAGTGTGATGTTCATATACTACAGTACAAAGTGAGGGTGTGGAGATGAGGTTCACGTCCGCTCTATAGAGGGGCAGACAGTCAAACCAGTTTCAGCATATTATCTACCAGTGGCGATTGCTCTAAGACTGCAAGGGAAGCTCAGCTTCCCCTAAAATGTCAACAAAATAAGTGGTCAAATATGTACTGTTGTGTGTACATTTCATTGACTAAATATGCGCTAGAACACGTTCATCTTTTGTTCAGAATCAGCTACTTATCACAGGTAACCGACACGACTTCCTTCTCGTTCATCCCCGCAGCGCCACAGTGCTTTACACAGTGTAGACGCCGAGCGTCTACTGACTTCAGTGGGGAAGCAGAGTGGGTTGTTCCACCACAGCGAAACTAGACGGTCATTGGATAAATGCTGGGCTTTGTCCCGCCCATCGGACGCTCAGCGTTTCTGGGGGTCTATGGGGCAGTGGGCTGCCCCGGACGCTCGGCTTCTGCATGATGATTGGATGATCTGTCTGAGGCTGAGTCCCTTTTTAATTGACAGCGAAATGAGCGAATCAGCGATCTTGAAGTATAAGCATCCACCGGAGCATTTTTTAAGTTTTTCATTCCGTTGTTCGGAGTTGATCTGGAGACGTTACTGATCCTCAGCGATTTTGTCTTTGTTAAAAACGACTAGCGTTGTGTTTGGCGACTCTCTTCTGTCACTCTGCGAATTTACATATAAATAAACGGACACATTTTATGATGTAGGCCGAAAATGAGCTTCCCCTCCTTATAAGACCAGCAGCCGCCACTGTTATCTACATACCCCAAGGTTTTATTTCAGACGTGGAGGCAATTTGTATCTGACCTCTGGTGACCTTGAGAGGTCATTGACCTCAGCATTGCATGTTGCCAGCATGTATATCTTTGCCAAAATTGCATTTTTGTTCTTGTGGATACTTATTTGCTGCTGTGGCCGTGTAACATCATTTTGCTTAGAGCACAATATTTGCCAGGGGACTGCAGACCCCATTGTTTCCAGGTGTTAAGCTATAGCTTGTCAAAAACACTGACAACTTCTACTGTGTGTTCTATGGAATTACATGACTAGCTAGCACATTAGCAAATACTCTTATCAAAAGCTAACATGCTAGTTTGGTCTGGACCACACTCAGGTCACATCTAAAATGAAAATAAACATCATGGTGTATAGAAACACTGGGGAAAGTTTCATGATTTAGTCATAAAATGCACAATAACCTTCACATACAAGCTCATCTGCTGCACTACTAATGCTGACAGTCACCATTAATATGTTAGTAGCTTTAAAGATGGAAATGTCTAATGGCAGATTCAGCACTTTTATATGAATTGTTTCAGACTTTGGTGCCACCATGTGAAGAGGATGCTCATTGAAAAACTAATGAAGTTGATCCTTAGAGCGACAATCTGAGGCACAAGCAAACAAAGGATTAGCCAAAGAATACTTAAATTACTGAGAGTTAGATGTAGTGTTTGAACTGTGTGAAAACTCTGAATTATCTGGTGAAGAGGAAAGGATCATGTCCTGGTGGCCTGAGGGTTGTTTTGGCCGTGAACAGTCAACTTGACCAGTGAAAATATAGCAAGTAAAGAGCAGAGATTTTAAAAACAAGGAATCATTGCTATTCTTATTATTGAATCTTCTTGTTGAACTAAATTTAATATAAATATTTGAACTCACTTCTGAAGTTCTTTTTACAACAGAAATCCAACATGTCAGGTCTGGAGACTGTGCAGGTCTTCATCATGTGATGAACCAGAGGATGATCAGAGGGTGTAGTGACACAGTTTGTACACACAGAAGGTTTGTTGTCATCAACCTGGAGGAAGTGTTTCATGAACTTTCAAGGCTTCACTAACTTCACTGCTTAAGGAAAAAACGGAGGTTCATCAGTTTCTTTATCCCTGAAAAATTTTAGTTTTTATTTATTTATTTAGAAGTAGTTGTAGTGGTAATGTATTTTATTGCTTATCTTTGTACCATTTGAGGTTTTTAAGTGGTATTGAGCTGCTGAAATTTCAATACAAACTGGAGAAATGTAGATGGGATAATACTTACTTTCAGGTACTTTCAGTAGTTCAGTACTTTATTGACCAAATACCTGCAAAACTAATCACTGTTTAGTGCTAATAAGCATGTTAGCATATTAGCATGTTAGCATGCTAAACAAAGATGGTGATCATGGCAAACACTGCACCTACTTAACATCAGCATATTTGCCTTGTCATTGTGACCATGTTAGCGTGCCAGTGTTAGCTCAGACCACATTTAGCTAAGATCACTTCATACAGCTACTGGTTGTCATGTACTAAACTGTTTTTTTAAGATCAATTCGCCCCAAAATACAGTAGGAGCATAATTTGTAAGAGAAGAGGTTTATTGTGAAAAATATAAAACATTGTTCTCTGTTATAATACATTTAAAAATGTACTGGAGCCGTATGAACCTAAAATAAAATTTCATAAACCTGACTTTGAAATAATAGTTTGACAAAAACATCTTAATTCAGACTCCACTTACCATCTTTTTCCAAAGCTTTCAACTGCATCTTATGGCCAGAAGTTATATTATAATACATTATTTGGTTGTACATGAGATGATGTGCCCAAAGTTCGATTCCCAAGATCACATGATGGCAGTTGAAACATCTCTAAGGCAACTGAGCGAATTCCAACAGCAGATTAATACCATGAGGTTTGGTTGAAAGTTGAACTACATAGTAAGTGGACAGTCAGTTCAAATGATTTAACCTATGAGATCATCCAAGTTCAAACAGTTACATGACCAATCTGTTGAGGTACCAGGCTCAGTGATAATCCTTGTTTTTTAAATTTTCATTCATCAACATACAGCTTTCTCCATCTGACCAGTTGCATGCAGACTTCCATCACACGGCTTGTGAAGTGTGACTGTGCAGCCATGGCAGAAAGGTCAGAGACTGCATGCTCTGTAGTGCAGGGTTCTTGAGTGCAGCACAGCATTTGATACAGAAAATGAGCTGTAATGTCAGAGAGGATATGAGACTGAGACCTTAGAACCAGACTAATCTGTTTTCCATCTGTCTCTGGCTTTTCATCAGTGCAGAGAGGGGGCAAAAATAATAAAAGGTGTCATGTGTTCATATTTATCGTGAGCTCTCCTCGATTTCCCTTTGACTGGAAATGAGAATTTGTCAGCCAGGACACAGCAACAGAGTGGAACTACACAGCCACTGTAAGTATGACACAACCCAGCAGAAGAATAAATGAAGCCTACAACTTCCTGTCGTCACTGTTGAGGTCACAGGTTTAGTACCATGGTGTCTCTACAGAGACAAAAACCATAACCTGTGTTCACCAGCTGTTCACCACACAACAGCCCACAGGCCCTGGACAGATACACTGGAAAAATAGAGCCAGCATATAACTCTCACTATGTTCATTGATGAGCTTCAGAGGTGTTGGTAGGTGTATTTTTGGACTTTGGACAGAGTCAGCAGTTTGTGTGTTCCTCTGAGAGATCAACACAAAACCTAAGAAAACACATGCAAATAGACAAAACAAACACATTCAGAAAACATCTTCATCAGTTTGACAACACATTAGCTGCAAATACTCACAACACAACAGAAATGTTTCTAGGGGACACTAAAAAGGGATGAACCTGCTGGAAGGAATTTATTCTTCAATGCTTTTAACTTCAGGTTGGTTCAGCAAACAGACAAATGTACTGTGTGTGAAATGCACATGAAAATGAATAGAGTTAGTGACACTGTCAATGAATTTTTAATATCTCACAATTTTATCATCTTAACTGAGGTGTAATCCACACTGTTCACCAGAGCAGGCATGTGATACGGCTCCTCTGTAGCCTGGCCTTCACCCTCCCTGACCTTTGACCGAGCTCACTTTTTTCTGACACTCACATGTATGTGTATTCTAACAATGAATCCACACATGAATATTTACACTGTGTTCTGGCAGCAGCTGATATGAACAGTGTCAGACTCTTCACTGTAAGTTTTTGTTGCAGAAAATGACAAGTTGAATCTGCAAGATGAATTTGTTCTTTGCACCACTAGAGGGCAGTGCACACTATTCCACTGAGAGCAGCACCTCTAACTGTTATGTGTCAATGATGAAAAAACTTTGTCTCTTATTTTCACTATGAAAACTCTATGAGCTGTTAAAATCTGTAAATGTATGTCATTTGTGTAAATACAAAAACATATACAACATGTTACATGTGAACATAATGAGGTGGCTGTTCTCTTGGTTGGTAAAACTGAAATGATGAATCACACCGTGCCCAGCTGTTCAAGGTATCATGGTTACGAGAGGTCACAGGTGAAAATTAAAAAATCTTTTTTGGAGTAATTTCAGTTTATTATTTAGATGTTTTTTGTTTTCTATTCATTATCATGAACACACACACTGTGCTTAATTCTGACTGTAGTCAGACACTGTTTTTATGATTCACTTTCACTTTCAGCTTAAAGTAGATTGTGTAAGACTTCATGCTTTTCTGCTCAGGTCACCAAAAAGGTTGAACTTGCTAACCCTAAAATTATAGACACGTAGTGTATGTGTGTGTGTGCGTGTGCGCGCGCGCGCACGCGCGTGTGTGTGTGTGTGCGTGCGTGTGTTGTAACTCTCCTGCTGCTTGCTCTCTCCTTTCTCTCCTGACTTCTGTATTCTTGGCAGACAGCTCATGGTTTTTGTGGAGGGGGTGCTGGGACTGATCTGATGTCAGTTCTCATACATGGAACCGTCCACTTCCTCCTCGCTGTTACAATTGGCCTGAGGAAACTCTGCCAAACACACACATTGCAGCATTTCTCTGCTTCCAGTTGTGAAGCAGGATGAAGTAAGAGGCGGGTCTGTGTTCTGCACAAAGACACAAACTTCAGCTGGAAAAATGATCCTCCTCAAACTCACACAGGGATTCTGAGCTGCAACAAAAGGACCAAAAGACGGAGAATGTGAGTGAGTATTTCAGAGTAACACAGTGGTGTGTGAGCTCTCACTGTGGAAGGAATGTTCTGTATTTTCAGGGTGTGTTGAGAAACGATAGGCGAGCCAGCTCTCCAGGCTAATTCACTATAAAAAGGCTTCTTATTACTTGTTACTTTTTATGTTCAATTTGAGTTTTAAAACGACCCAAGGTGTTCTCTATAAATCATTTTATTTCTTATCTGCAGTCAGAAGTGGAAATCTAAATCTGTATTATCTGTACTGATGTCAAGAAACCTGAGAGGACGTCTCTGCAAATACTAAAAAGTAAAAGCAGAATCCTTTCATTTGTTTCATTCCACAGTTATTCAGTGAAAGATTGTAGAGCTTTATCACTTTATATCTCTGTATGTTTATACCTTACTCCAAGATAAGGAGGGTTTCATGCAGGACAATACATGTCCCAGCTGTTCTCAAGTGATAAGCAATTGAAATCTCCTGCAGTAGTGGAACAAGTATTCAGACCCAATGTAAGTCAAAGTAGCAAAACCTGCATGTATGTGTCAGAGTCCCACATTAAATCCGTCATTGAAATGTTCTTAAAGCTGCACTGAGCAATATTTTTCAATAAACACTGGATCTGACTTAACTTATTCATATAGTTCCAAATCATAACAGACATTATCTTAAGGCTCTTTACAGAGTCAGGTCAAGACCTCGAATATCATAGAGAGAAACCAAAAGTTCCACCATGAGCAAGTGGAAAGGAAAAATCCCTTTAACGACTCAGGTGAATGTAGTGGAGATTTTACTAGCTAAACAGACAGATATTTTTCTCAGGAGCTGATGGAGAGTAAATACTGGACTGAAAATACATCAGGTCGACACCATCAGGAATCTAAATGAACAATATGTTGTTCTGAATTTGTTGGATGTGCAAATAAGCAACTGCTCACTAACACAAATGCCATACCCTTTATTAAGTCATAATGTGTCAGATGTGTTTATGGTTTGTTCTGCTGCCCCAAGTGGACATGAATCAGTGTAATCTGACTGCAGTGTTTCTGCAGTGTTTAAAGAATGTGGATCCATTCTCCACCACAGGTTCTAACAGGGTTTCCTTATGAAGGTTTTATAGTTGCCCGAGGGGAAGCTCACGTTCTCTGAGAAGGTGCTGGTTAGACACACATACTCTACTTGAATAAAAGTATCAGTATAATCAAAAGTCAGGCACACAAAATTGTACATTATACAGACGATCATACATGATCATATACATATTTATTTGATTGGAAGATTTCAGATGTTGCAAGTGACCCCAACCCTGAGGACGGTTGCAACATATTAAAAATACATTAAATTTCACTAATTAACTTTTACTTTTTGTCTCAGTAAGCGCAGTATTCTGAAAACATGCACTGTTTTACAATAATATTAATATTTGTCAAGCAGTTATTGAGTTTTGTTTTGTGTAGAACACTGAACCTACGTTCAGTCAAATATAGGCACAGTTTATGTTATTGCTTATGAACAGAACAGACGTATATATTATAAGAACACGAGAGACTAACAAAATCATTCACAAAATAATTTGTTTGTATTCTCTTATGCATTAAAATGAGCAATTATTGTTGCATCTGTTTGGGACATAATTAGCAAAAACATTGTTGTGTAGACTGTGTTGATCTGGCTGCTCAGGTCTAACTGAGCATGTGCAGAATTAGTGTCATCACTCTAGCATGTTTCTGATTGGAGGAATTGGATTTGTTGCAACCGCCCCTACCTTAAATGCATACTGAATTACAGTAGTTTCCATGTAATTAAATTTATTCAAAATAGTTCGAAGTGGATCAGTGTTGGCAGTCGTATAGTAAACTTCTGAGGTTTTGACCTGTTGTAACAGGAAGAGCATAGATGTAACTAGCACCATTAACATTTACTGTAAGTGTTGCCATGAAGCTGGTCATAATAACTGGTTACACTGTGAAATTTAAGGTGTTCAGAATGTGAAAGACCCACACTGAATGATTGAAAACCTGATCCGTGAACTGTTTTCATTTGCAGGCTCAGCTTCAGGCTCGTCTACATTTTCTCATACAACCTCTTTCAGTTCTGTGGGCACACATGGATCCTGGCTAATACCATAGCCAGGTTCTTCACATTTGGTCAAGGTGAGCTTTATTAAGTTTCAGATAGTAGCCCAGTGGACAGAGCAGCTCTTTAAACAAATACAGGTTTTAACTCAGGAGAGTATGAATAAATGTGGGTGGACAATAACAAAGTACATTTACTTCGGTTCTATACATAAGCACATCTTTCAGTATCTGTACTTTATTGATTATTATTTTTGTAAACTTGTGACTTTTACTCCACTACACTTAAAAACAAATAATGTACTTTTGACTCCACTACGTTTCTATGAAGTAGTGAAGTACTCTTACTTTGAACCAGAGCTTTTAACCAGTGGAATGAATTCTATTTTATTTTGAAAATGTGATAGACCATACACTGTGTTCATCATAGGAAAAAAAAAAAGAAAAACTATCACAGCCAACTCCGCCACTGTCAGTCATGTTTGAACCTGTCAGTGTCCTAATGATGGCGATGTCAGATAAAGATGAGGCAGAAGATTCTTCACCGGAGACCATGCTCTGATCTGAAGTCTGTGTTTGAAGGTTTATAAAGAAAGAAAGATTCATTTAGTTTGAAATGTTTGCTGTGTTTACCACGACCAGACTTCATCACTGACTAAAAATAGAAATATGAAAACACCAAAGGCTCCTCATGTTGATTCAGTTGTTTTTATGTCCATGTCTACAGTCTTTTTATTTGACATGTCAGTCAGTCAGTCAGTCAGTCAGTCAGTCAGAAATCAATAGTTTGTTTCAGAGTCATTAGGTTCTGTAAACGTGGAACAATGCAACAAAAATGTACTTTTGAATACTTCAGTATTTTAAAATCAAGTACTCCAATACTTTAACTCCAGTAAAAATGTGACTGATCAACCTTTGTATTAGAGTTTGACTAGGAGGATCTGTACTCTGACTCAAGTGATGGAGCTGTGTACTTTGTCCTCCTCTGTGTATAAAATGGCTTTCATCAATGATCACATGTGATTATTTGACATTGCAGATGCCTTAGCAGACACGTTCTACTCTGTTGGTTTTGTGATGAGTCTCTGCCAGCTGCTCTCCATCCTGGAGCTCTTCCATATCGCAGATGGGATTGAGAAAGCCAGACTCCTTCCTCGCTTCATCCAAGTGTGTAACCTCAGTGGAATGTCATTGTTAATCCTGTTATCTGATGTTTGATGTAAAATTCTTCACATATCTGAAGCAGTCGGTAGATTGTGGATGCCGTTTTGCTCTTTCAGGTCATGGAGAAGAACTTCCTGTTGATCATGGTCATCATGCTGGAAGAGGTCCAGAGTAAACCAGTTGTGTGTGTCCAGTTTTTCTTGTGGAACATTTTGGACCTGTTACGGTAAACACATCACTAACATCTCGTTTCATTTCATCCAGTCTGTTTGTGCTTTTTACGACAGATGGCCAATTTCAGGTCTTACAAGAACTTTCAATTTATTTCACACAAAAATTTAACATGGGAGTCTATGGGGATTGACTCACTGTTGTAGTCAGACTCTAATGGTCATAGAGGAACTGCAACTTTTAGCACTTCAGTGTTAAACTAAGCGTTAAACTGGAGGTTGATTCTTGGTTCATCACTACGAGCAACTTCTCTGACATTATACAGTGATCTAAGCCACTGAGGGTAAAACCTCTCCTGTTGGTAGCATGTAGCAATGGTAGCAAGTATGACACAGCATTGTTTGCAAAGGTTATACTGAACATACATGAATAGTCAGGTACACATAGGAATAGCAAAATAGATCATAGTTTTTATCATGAGTCTTTAGTCATGTTGCACCATCATGAATAAAAGGAGAAAACTGGAGTCTTTACATGTTTATCTACTGACTGAAAAAACTGGAAGTTAGTACTGTGCTCAACAGTTTGATGTGTGCTTTGTGATAGGTACCCACATGAGCTGCTGCGTGTAATGGATACACCCTCCATCACCATGCTGTGGACTCGCTACACACTCTGGATCCCCTTATACATCCTGTCAGTTGCCACTGAAGGTGAACAGTTTACTACTACACTCAACAATAAGAGCTGTACTATACTTGAATGTATTAAAGACTGGTGTTGTGTAAGGGAAGTTAGTGTGTATACAGGAAATGAATTGACAAAGCACAGCCGATGATAAAATTTCAGGAAGTGTGTGAGGAAAGCACATTCCAGTTGAGTGTGTGTGTGATAGAAAGAGAGAGAGAGGGAGAGAGAGAACACAAACTGATGTTCACTGCAGCCAAACAAATACTATTAAAGGGACACAGGGTAAGACTGTTCATAGCAGGAAATGGTCTTTATTAGGCTTGGACCAATATTCGATAATATGGGATATCCCGATATTACCCACCATATGTGATATTTTTCATATAACTTTTTTATATTATATATTACATGTTATATATTATAAAACTAGAATTACCACCTTGTCTTTGTGTCCTCCACCAACCAGCCAAGTTACAGGAAATATGGTCACAGTCTCTCCTTCCTGAGTTACAGTGTTGAATAATGTCCAGAAGTGTTTTCACAGAGCATTATGATGTCAGAGGGGAGGTGACCTTTGGTCTTTTGGATATTTTATTCTTATAGACATTTGAGTTAAATTGTGTCATAATTAGTGTATGAATTTGTGAGATATGGCCAAAAACCGTATTTTGTGAGGTCACAGAGACGTTTGACCACCAAAATCTTATCAGTTCATCTTTAAGTCCAAATGAATGTTTGTGCCAAATTTGAAGAAAATCCCTCAAGGCATCACTGAAATATCGCATTCACAAGGCCAGAACCGTGTTTCATGAGGTCACTGCAACCTTGACCTTTGACAACCAAAATCAGTTCATCGTCTTAGTAAATGTTTTTGCCAAATTTGAAGAAGTTCTGTCAAGGTGTTATTGAGATATTGTGTTAATGAGAATGGGACGGACAGACGTATGTACAGTATGTACGGATGGACAACCTGAAAACATAACACCTCCCTCTGTGGCTGTCACTGACATGGAGGCATAACAACACCTGAAACATAAAATACAATAATATAATTATAGTATAATGGAGTTGTGCGCTGCGATAATATCGTATATATATTGTGATATTTGGGCATGACTATATGGAGGTATTAAAATTTTGGATACCACCCAAACCTTGTCTTTATTGGACCATAGCAGGTTGATTTTTAAAACAGCAGGTTCTCACAACTTATTATATGTAGTATTAAAAAGTTGAATGTGATTTATTTCTGCTGACTATAATTGTTTTTGTTTTTTGGTCTTATTCAGGTGTCACTCTGTACCAGGCCCTGCCGTATATTGAGCCAGCTGCACTAAACCCAACACACATTCACCCCCCTGTATTCCTGATGCTCTACCTGCCTGTTCTTGCTCTTGGTAAGATTATAGTTATCCAGCATTCCAACTGCACTGTGTTTAAGAAACATGGACTACAGTGGTGGAGGCGTGTTGCTTCAGACGCCTGTTAGACACTGATGTATAAGCCCAGAAGTCCAATATGAGTAACAAGTGAATGCATTTAAAGGCTCATCGGATGGCAAATCACTGTTTGTAACACTACAGGATTTTAGAAGTCTAGAAAGTTATCATGACAGAAATTATTTTATCTTTTGTTGTGCTAAAAGAACAGTCAGGAGCAGTGAGTGTGTGCAACCTCCTGAAGTGTTGTTATCAGGGTGAGGTTGCTAGGTTTCAAACCATCAGCCTGTGGAGACCAAAACCAAAGGCAAAAGCAAAACTGACCGTACCTGGCAACCAGTTTTAAGGCAGGAGAGGTTGCAAAGAACTACAGAGTGAGTATTCCCTACAAGCACAGGCAGACACAAGCGTTTTTCTTGCTACTGATGTATTTGATTCAAATCCACCGTGGAAACAAAAGCATGTTAGGTCAAAATAAACAATCAATGACATTTTACCAGTAAAATAAGGCAAAACAAACAAATACCTCATGGGCTGCATGCTAGGTTAAAGGGAATAAGCCTTCATGTCTGATCTTCCTTACTTCAAATGAGTCAAAGAGTCAAAGAGTTATTTACGAGAGAGCAGTCCAACGGAATTCCTGCGCAACTTTTAGCCTTCAAAATAAAAGCACTATTTCTTATTTTAAATTAAACAATATACAAATGATAAATGCAACTCAAATAAATTACAAAGAATGAAATTGGTCTTATAAAAGCAAATAAATTAACAAAAAATAAACAATGTGAATATTATCATTGCAACAGTTACAGGGTGGATGGACACGCTCTTGTCTGACAAGAAATAGTTCCAGCACATAACTCCCCTAAAAGATTGAAAAAATTGTCGTTTGTAGCCATGCTAGTGGTCAACGGTCAGTCCATAGGCTGACATATCTCAGCAGCTGTTAATTAAGTGCCATGAAATGTTGTACTGACATTCATGGTCCCTGAGGGATGAATCCTAATGATTTTGGTGATACTGTGACTTTCTATCTACTGCCACCACCAGCTCAAAACTTCAGTTTGTTCAGTTTGTTTGGTTCATGGCCAAATACCTGCAAACCTAATATTCCCATCAGCCTCAGCTGTACTGTGTTTTGTGCTAATTAGCAAATGTTAGCATGCTAACAAATTTTATTAATTTAGTGAACAGTGTAAACATTATACCTATGAAATATGAGCATGTTAGCATTGTGTTTGTATGTTAGCGTGCTACTGTTAGCATGTATCTCAAAGTACTGCTGTGTTAAGTGCAGCCTAACAGAGCTATGAGTCTGCAGCATGGCTACAGCATAGTATTGGTGTTAAATGAACAAGATAAAACATGTTAATCAGTCAGCTGTGGAGATGTTGTTAGGCATCTGAACTTTGGACAGTAGTTTCAAATATTTATGCTAAGCTAACCATATCCTGACTCCACCTCCAACAGTGATTTGAAATTGATACCAATCTACTCATCTCACTCTTGGAAAAAACAATAAGTATACATAACTAGTCTTTTAAACTAACAGTATTGGAATTTAATAGTTTAACCTTAAATGTTAAAAAATAAGTAATTTTCAGTCCACACCATAAACTGTAAATAAAGATGGACGTAGCCTCTGTGACGTCACCCACAGGTTTCTGAAGCAGTTTTGAAGCTCAGAGTGAGCTGCGCCACCACCATCATCATCTTTTTTTTATTTTTTTGGACACTTTTTGCCTTTATTCAGATAGGGACAGTGAGAGAGTGACAGGAAAGTTGGGGAGAGAGAGGGGATAACATGCAGCAAAGGGCCATGGGTCAGTCACTATCGCCATCTTGGCAGTATCTGACGCCGCCCCTAACTCCCAGCTAATCCAAAAAAGGACAAAAAGGACAAAAAGGAGGGGTGTGTGGAGCTGAGACTTCAGTGCAAGCCAGTTTTTGGCAAGCATAGGCTCACCCACGCCCTTAATTATGTATAACTTTAATTCTTAATAAAATGTAAACAGGTGAGTTATATAAACAGTTGTCATGAAGGAGGAAATTAGCTCTAGAGACCAAAACTGTTTTTGTACCAGGCTGTAAACATGTTTCTGCTGTAAAGTTGGATATTTTAACATGGGAGTCTATGGGGATTGACTCACTGTTGGAGCCAGACTCTAGTGGTCATTAGAGGAACTGCAGCTTTTTGCACTTAAGTGTTGGCTTCATGTTTCAGCCTGGAGGTTGATGCTTGGTCCTGACTTGACTAAGGAGATTAAAGAGTTTAAATCAGGGTGTAGTCATACAGGAGACTGGTTTGTCCCACCTGCCTGAAATTAGACTGAGTTGTGGTTTACCATACTTCGACTTGTAGCAACCTAAAGAGACTAGAGACATGTGACTGCCAAACACTTTACTACCAAACCTACCATCTCAGACTATTTAATTTTTACTTGATGAACCACAGCTATTGTCTGTTTGCAGCTGTGTTTATATATGTACGGAATATTTGCAGACAGTTCTGTAACAGCCATTCTCTTGCAGTTGTTAGATCTGTGTCATAAATACAAAATTACCATATTGACACTATTTTGTTTTTGCCAACTCTCTAACGGCAGTGTTGTCCTTTCAGGAGCCTCTGTGACAATCTGGCAGCTGCTGAAGGAGAGACAATACCACCTGGAGAAATGGAAGAAGAAGATGAAAAGGAAATAAATAAAACTATTTAAAAGAACTAAATGGTTGGACCATTTCAGTCTTTCTGTAACATCTTCCTGGAACTTCCTGGAAAGTCTGTTACTTTTTTTTATTCAGTGAGTTTGATTTGTTAAATGTGTATTTTAGAAAACCCAGAAGCCACAAAATGAAATTTACCAACAGACCATTCAAATTTTCTGTTACACTTTTAATAGAAATACTATTTGACAGAGCACATTCCTGTTAACATCAGCGTCATGTATGACTGAAGCAGAGCGACGGCAGCGGTGGAGTTTTTCTATTTGAAAGTCTGTGGAGCTGCAGTGTGCCTCGACACATTCAGACATCACATCACTGTCTCCACATCCGACAGGCTCAGGAAGGAGAGATACAGCTCGTGTGTTACAGCTCCAGCATTGTTTTTGTCGTGAAGACCCTCAGTATGCATCGCTGTGGTTACGATATAATTACCAGCCATAAGCTCTGGTCCACACAGCTTTCTTCTTGAACTCAGCGGAGGACTTCAGAGCCAACAGAGCAGCTGAAACAACAACACAGGCACCATCAGATAAGCCACTCATTTGTACCAACAGTGTGTTTGTTGCTTTTGTGAATGTGTGACGTACTTGTAAGAGGAAGGAAATCATGTGTGTTTCAGGAGTTTTCAGTTGTGTTTACATTCAGTACTCACCATAAGCCATTGTGTGTATCCTGGAGGCCTAACACACGTGACTGCAATACCTCCCGCATAAAAGTTTCTTAAGTAAAATTTCAGTCTCGTTTTCATCATGAATTTGAATTCAGCAGCAGCTGTTGTTCAGTGGAACAGACACTATAACTGTTGACTTGTCTGTCTGTCTGTCTGGTTTGCTAAACGTCACAGTGTCCAACACTCCTATGTTTGCGTGTCAATACCTCAGAGGAGCTTTACATTTTAAACTACTGCTATGTCTGAGCAGTGTGTATTGTATTTGTATGTATTTGTATGAGTTGCTGCATTTGCGATCTTCACCTTTGGCTGTGCTGGTGGTCGCAGTCGACACACTCTGGCCAGGAGCTTCTGTGATGCTGAGAAGCCAGTCTATGAACTGAGACACACACACACACATTACATTCTATCATTGTCTTGTCTAAAACCAAAAAACTTTCCCAAAAAAACAAAAATCAAATAAATGTAAAATGTGTATCGTCATTCAGCTGTGGCCCCGTGTGCCTAAGGTGGGGCCCTACACTCTGCCCTCATTGGAATGAAGCTGCAGAAACACTGACCTTCTGTGTCTGGCTGCTCCAGGGCTCTTTGCCCAGAAGCAGAGCCAGGCTGTGGGGCATTCCCAGCAGACACTGTGGCAGGGCATGGTCAGTGAGTGACTCCTCTCCATAGAGACCGTGTTGCAGAGCTCGAGGCTTGGAGCCCTGTTGCCATGGAAACCACTGGGCCCGGATGCCATAGAGGAGTGGCATGAAGTGGTCCCCCCAGGAAACTACAGCAGCAGCAAAGACCTGGAACAGGAAGTCTGTGGCCTGCAGAAGAAATGAGGGAAATCGATTCTCAACTGGAGAGGTGTTCAATTACCTACTTTACATCAGGTTTACTGATTTTCATGGCGTTAAAGGGCTGTAAAAGTTTACAAAAAAAAATGTAATATGTTGCCAGCAGTTCAACAACAAAACATTTCTACTCTGTACATGATTGTTTGATATTCAGCTCATTTTTAAATAGCACCACATCGAGTGTAAAACTTACCAAAGCCCTAAAAGGCTAGTGAAAACATTTGCCAGGTTCATGTTTCCTAGTTTTTCTTGTTTGTTTTTTTTTTACATCTGTATAAACAACACCCCAAGGACAAGTGATTTTTTTTCTGGGAAGACAGAAAGAAAAAATTTATAAGTATTTATATATATATATATATATTTTAAACCTTGCCTCTCTTGGGTTGTTTTCTCACTACTTGCCTCTTGTGGTTTATACAGCTAAAATTATTTTTCCTTTCAGGACTTGTTTTCACAGATGAAAAAAACAAAAACTTAGAAAATTGGAAAAAAAGTAAAAAAAAAAAACTTTTTAAAACTTCTTTTAAACTTTATTTTTTCTTTCACTAGCCTCTCTTGGGTTGTTTTCACTGATGAAACATGGAACGTTATTCCCAGAAAAAAAAAAATTCACTTGCCTCTCAGGGTTTCTGTAAAAACCTGTTTTCACATTTAACTTGTGCTAGAGGACACACCCAGCGAGACTGCAGCAGCATTCCCAACCACCTCAGACAAGTTATTCCACCTGAGGAGCCTTTAACTCCAAACTACAGACTGAAACCCAGAGCTCTTAACATATCATCTGTGGCATGTGACGACAACACTCTCACTGCTCTGGAAACACCACACACAGGCACACATGGCTCAGGAACATACCAGTTTTGTGTCTCCACATGTGACAGACGTTGCACCGTAGGCAACATTTCGAATGTGGCCCATCAGCTCCAGGAGCCACTCCATCCGTCTGGAGATGCCTGTGACACACAACATACAAACAACAGATCAATCATTAAAACCTAATGTGTGGAATTATATGCCCCCTAGAGGCCACATTAAAAACTCCAGTGTGACGGACAGCAGAGTAGTATTATCATTTGATAGCTTAATGGGCTTTTCTCATATCATGTGAAAGCAGCAGGAGAAGTTGTTCTCTGACCCGTGTTGGAACTGGTTGCCAAGCGACACTGATAAAACGTTTGGAGGAGAATCCAGCCGACTCTGCGGCTTGGCCAACCACGAAGCACACCAGCGATGATGTCATTGAGACCAAGGAGGGGAACTCTGCCCTGGGAAGTCAGGTAAGCCAGGATGAAGCAGGTCTTCTCCATCTGGATCTAAAAGAATAAACCTGAGTTATCCTCCAAGAATTTAAATGGGCTTTTGATTGATTAAAACGCATTATACTAAACATTAAACATCCTGGGAAACAAAAGGATCCAAGTGGGTGGATGCCAAGATTCATTGCGCACCAGTGATGAATCACTTTTCAGAAAAGAGTCTTTTGTGGTCTATGCGGTCTTCGGAGGCCACGCCCTCGTCCTCCAAAGGATTCGGCCTCTGAAATGGGACACTGACCGTCTCTACATAATTATCTTAAGCATGTAGCTAGATTCAATTTAATGTATAGTTGTACAAAATTTGCAGCTGTATTTTTTCACTTGTAGGTTTTTAAGTCCAGCTGTTGACGTCTAAACTGAACAGATTTTCAGTTCATTCTCTCTACAAACACAATAATTTTAAAGATGACGTAATCATAAAAATGTACAAATGATGGCTTTAAGTTAGTTAGTGTGTGTTAGACTGAAGTTGAAACGTCTTAATGATGCTGAAATGATTTCACTTCTGCTGCAGTTTTTTTAATTTGACAGGAAATGTTCAGAAATTGTTTTAGAAATATGTTGGAAAATGCAGTTGTTGATTTCTTTCTCAGATTGAGATGATAGGTATCCATCCATCTTATGTTTGTGTGTAAAGTAGAATCAGGCTTTGGTTAGCCTGGCTTAGCATAAAGACAGGCAGCAGGAGAAACCCAACACTGTACCTTAGTAACTCGAGCAATTCGATCAATCTCTGTATCAGACATCTCAGACAGACATCTGGCCACTCCTGTGTACAAATCCACTTCATCATCCTATAACAAATGAATTTAGCAATACAAAAAGAAAAATATAACAGAGCATTGTTAGATGGTTGGCCTGGTACAATTACAGATGATTGAGTAACATTTTTTTTTAAATAGCAATGATCTAGAAAACGTTTAAGTTAAAAACTGCACATAATTGAATTGTTTGATCTTATATGGGAGAAGCAGCTTATCACAGCTGAAGCACTAAAAGACTGAAGCAGTCGCTGAAGTTTGCTGAATTAAAGCTCCATATTATACATCCTGTGTTGTATTTGAAGTGTTGATCCATAAGAAGATATATTTGTGGTTTTAAGAACCAAAAACCATCTCAGTGTAGTTTTACATCTCTTCTCTCAGGCTTCTCTCTGAAGCTCTAGTAACAACAGGTCGGTGAGCCAATCAGAAGAGAGGAGGCTCTGAGCCTCTCTTCTGATTGGCTGACTGTTTTCTGAGCGATTTAATAAAAATATAGCAGATTTCAGGTAAGCACTGAGATGAAGTTGAAGAATCAGTTTGAGTGGAGGATTTTAATTTGAAATCATCCAAATTTGATAAATGAGGCTGACAGAATCAGCTAGAGTGTGGTGACTGAAAGCCAATGAACCCTCATTAAACGATGTCAGCGTGTGAGCTCTGAGAGCAGTTAAAGTGTCAGGTGAAGAGTGACAGATGAAGGCAGATGAAAGTGTGTGGTCTGTGGTCTAGTGTATGAACAGTGACAGGAGTCAGCTGAAGAGAGGATGTCAGGTAAAAACTCCATCAGTGTCTGAAGGTGTAAAGACTCATGTATTACCTGGATCTGGTTCGGCAGGAGGGTGAAGATCTTCTCAGTGGTGGAGCAGAGGATAGTCCAGCAGTTACTGGGGGGGTTTGGGAGGGCCATGGCCTGAGCGAGGCCCTGCAGGAGAGAGCGGCACAGGGACAGACGCTGGGGTTGAAGGTCCTCCTGGAACTGCTGCAAACCCAGACTCTCCATGTAGACCTGGAGCTTGTCCTCGGCAACATGCTTCATCCACAAGCCAAGGGTGTCATACAGGTGAGCCCGGGTCTGATACTGGAGGAGGACAATGGGCTGTAAAAGTCTCCAGACATCTCTGAAAGGCTCATAGGCAACACTGGGCATCACTACTCACAGCCTCATTAACAGGGTCTGTTCACTAGTGACACCTGCTGGTAGTAACTGTTCACAACAGCCATGTCATAAAATATGATCATGTGCCACAGTGCAAGCACCAATAACAATTACATGACCCTGTATCAGTTTTTAATACAACTCATTATTGTTGTTATTACTTAATTTAGCATGAGCGGGAAATTCTCAAAACTTAGTCTGATATCAAAAAATACAAAAAAAAACTCAATTGATGGTTTATTGATGAAGGGATATACAAACTAATAATCTGTGATGTTGAAATTGAAAGAGGTTTCAGACTAAATTCCTTGGGTTTGTGACAGATCATAAACTAACATGGAAACAACATATTGATTATATTAAAAAAAAAACATTCATGTCAATAGTAATTCTGTATAAATCTTGGAATATATTACATTATAAGGCCATTTCAGTTCAATAGTCTTAATACAAAAACAAGCTATATATATATTAATAAGGCTGGCTACTATGATCACACTCATCCATTGTGTCTCTGTTCCCATAATATGAAATTTAATGATTTATTATATAAAATTATAAAATAATGCAAATAATGTTTAGAGCTAAGCAAATATAATCTGAGAGATGTTCTTAGTTTACTGAACCAATAAAAATAAAAGGAGATGTGTTTATATTGTTGGGGATTAAATTAAAGAACAATGCTAAAATAAATCTAAAAATATGTAATTCGCTTTTGGTTTTCAAAGGAATGGTTTCTATAACTCTGTGTCTCTAGCATGTTACATTAAAAACATAATTTGAGCTTTAAATTATTTTAAATTAACTTTATCTAATAGCAAAATCTTGGAATACATAACTAAATTTTGTCATTAATTTTACCTTCGTTCATTGTAAAGTGTACATATTTGTGTCATTTTTATATTTTCATGAGGTTACTCTTATTTAGTGCTAGGTAACGCAGTATCCATGGTAACGATGTAGCTAGTCAGACTGGGCTTGTATCCCCCAGGTGAGTGTGTGACTGTTAAATCAAGATCTATGGATATGAATATATGAATGTTCATCCAGTCTGAGGGAGAACGTCATTATATTGACTTACAGAATGATTATCTATGTGTATTCATTTATCTTTATCAGTTGTGTCTTTATATCATTCATAATGGAAATGTTTGATCCTGATTAGAGTTAGACTGTTGGCCATATCATTTATTTATTTGCAGTTCAATCGTTAGTGTTTGAAGTTTGCTTTGATTATGATTTTTCTGTCAGACTGAGTAGTTTTATTGAGACCAGCTGTTATCCCCCATATCCTGAAGTGCTTGTTTCAATAAAAATAGGTCAGTGAAACGAGGAGCTGTCTGAGTCTCTTCATTAGAGTCAATCAGTCAACTGCCAGCTGTTACTTCAACATTGTGTTCTACATGACGCAGAGACTGGAACTGTCATGCTGAAAAAGAGAATTAACGGGGTGCTGTAAACTGTATATTAGGGAGCAGACTGAAGCCCCTGTTTCTTACCACTTAACAGTGTTAACTATTTTCTTTTCTTTTTTGGTGTACAGCTTAAATTGATAATACTGTAGGCACACCTGAGCCTGTTCAATCACAACTTAATACGCAGACCATTGACCGCTTCACTTAATTTTCAAATACACAACACATAATATGACAACTGAGCAAACTCCAGCCCCTGACTAAGATTGTGAGATGTGGTTGAAGCCTCTGAGAAAAGCTAGTAAGTAGACCTTGAGTTCAGATTGTTTTGTCAAACAACATATATGATTATATGTACAGTGGCAGGAAAAAGAAAGTGAACCCTTTGAATGGAATTACCTCCATTTATGTATAAATTTGTCCTTGAATATGGTCATCTTCATCCAAGTTACAATTATGAACAAACACAATCTATTTTAACCAGTTACACACAAATCATTGTTTTGATCAAAATATAATTCAAACTAGGCTGGAAAAAGTATGTGAACCCTTTGACTAATGGCATCAACAAAAGCTAACCGGAGTCAGGAGTTATCAAACCTGGAGTCCAATCAATGAAACCAGATTGGAGGCGTGGGTTAGAGACACTTTGACTTCTAAAAAACACTCAAACATTTTGAGTTTGAGTTTCCTTCTGGAGCAGTCTAGTCGGAGCCCAGACCTTTTACCCAGTAGAGATAATGTGGAATGACCTTAAGAGAAAAGTACGAACCAGACATCCTGAGAATATGTCTGATCTGAAGCAGTTCTTTAAAGACGAACTGGCCAAACTTCCTCCTGAACATTGAACAGGTCTGATCAGCAGCTACTGGAAGCTGGTTTCAGGTTATTGGAGCCAAATGTGGTTCAGCCAGTTATAAAATGCAAGGTTCAATTACTTTTTCCACCACCACTGTGAATGCTTAATGGCTTTCGTTCAATAAAGACACAAAAGATTATAATTGTTTGTGTTATATTAGTTTAGAGACACTGTGTCTACATTTGTGACTTGTATAGAGATCAGATCACATCTCATGACAAGTCAGTGCAGAAAACCAGGTCATTCCAACGGGTTCACTGCCTTTTTCTTATATACAGACTTATATAAGAATGAGGATATAATGAGTAAAGCTGCAGGAAAACATGAAGCAGCCTCCCTTATCATCAATCATGTGACTCTCTGTTGTACATACTTAGACTTGATATCAGTATATGATGTTATTACTCTGTTCTCCTCTCTACAGCTGTACTCGAGGAACTTACACTGAGACTGTGCACCAGGGGGGGGGACAGCCAAGAGCCCAGGAAGAGAGATGCACTCTGGGAAGACTGAGCCTGACTCGCTGCCAGTACCACACACTGATGCTGCACCTCCTCTCCTGTTGAAGACAAAACATTTCAACATGCTGCTTTGACTCTTTGGCTTCCAGTACAGATACATGACTCTGTGAGGACTGTTACCGAAGCTGAGCCTCATCAGAGGAGACAGGACAGCGCTCCAGTTTATGGGCGGGTACTGGAAACTGGCTCCAACTGAAGCCAGCGGGGTCAGTGCAGTCTTCACCAGAGCTGGAGCAGAGGACTCACGACCTGGAAACAAAGGAGTTCAAAATATGAATTGTTTTGATTCAATGTATCTTGATGTAACTCAGTGGTATTATATGTGTTTGTGCTGTTGAGAAAATAAAGTTGTACACAGAACTTTCACAATGAAAGATTTAACAGAGTTTTTGCAGGTTTGAAGAAGTTTAAGACTTTTTAAAACCACTATGATGTAATTTAAGACACTGTTTAACATCCACACTGGCAAGAAAAAGAATCTTAAATTAATCTATTGACTTTCAACAGGCCTTCAACCAAGCTGCACAGTTTACATTAGTGGTTATTGGTTCCATGGTGGTTTTGTTTTGTAGTTTTATTACAGCGTGACAAATACAAATACTTCACAAACACACATTTAAAAGCCTGAAGTTAATGCAGCTTTATGAAAGTGATGTTAACTCCATAATCCAATCAATTTTCAAGACCTGTCAAAACTGTGTTCCAGACATTTTAAGGCCTAAAATTCAGATAATTGGAATTTTGACTTTTTAATCAGCAGAAACCCTGTTCAACTAAACTGGTCTACAAACCTTTCTTTCCTGCCTCTGAGATGAAGTCAATGATGGGTCTGAGGACACTTTTCTCTGAGAGGTAACTGAAATTCTGAGGAACTGAGGGGGACAGGAGGAGACACAGAGGGAAAAAAACATCAAAAAAACATGTCACACCCAACAAGCAACTTCCCACTATTGAAGATAGACAGTGACTGATTTCCACGCACAGCTGGACTGAGGTAAGAGGAATAAACTGATTTGAGTTCATCCATATTGCTCCTACCTGCTGTTTGAGTGTGGCTGGTGGACATGTGGGCCAAATGTAAGTGACCCATCAAACAGGCGCTGTTGGACTGTAAACCAATGGCACCTGAGAACGTTATGACCTTGAACAGAGAGAGAGAGAGATAGAGAGAGAGTTAAATAGGCTGATGTACATGAAGAAGAAAGGAGGTTCAGTGTCATTTAGGTTTGGGACAATATTCTATAATATCAAATATCGTGATATTTGGGCTGAACTGTATATTAAATTTTGGGTATCACCCAAGCCTGATGTCATTAGAACTAACATTATATCTTATAATATCACATTAGCACATTTTTTGTCATAAGATTTATTTATTTTCTTAATTACATTGACAGGATATCATGTAAATTATTATTATTATCATTTTCCTTACAATTTTATTTATATAACATCATTAATGTCCACTACTATATCACATAAATACACACACACACACACACACACACACACACACACACATTTCATTTTTATGTCTCTATAAATGTTTGTTTTTGTTGTCGTTTACATGTATGTCTATTATATGTACCCTTTGTGTAACACTTGTTGTAATGCAAAGTCACTAATAAAGAACAGAAAAAGAACTAACGAAACAAATAATCACAAAATAAGAAATTGTCTTACAATGCATCACAAATCTAATGTCAATTACATTTAAATACATGATGTAATAACTTGAATTTAAGTAGGAAATATGGTGTCAGGGCTGCAGAAAAAGCAGCAGGTGTCTGACAGAACTAGACAAAGTCAGACTTGTATTGTAAAACTTATACTGAGATAAATTCACAATTTTTACCATTAAAAACAACAGCATGAATAACATAATGCGTGGCCCACCTGTGTGATGGCTCGAATGACCTCATTCAGCCGGCTCTGCTGCTGGGAGGAAAGCTCCAGCTCACTTTTCAGCTGGAACACAGGACACAAGATAAGTGACAAAAATATTCATGAACAAAGCACCAAACACTTCACTTCATTATTAAACATTTTAAATCAATTTATTGCCCACATAGCAGTGATACTCCTTCTTCACAGCAGACATTTTGACTTTCCATTGCTGGAAAAACACGAGACACAGAACATTAAAGATGTGTGAGCATGACAGTGACAGTGAGACATACCAGGACCAGGACTGAGGGAGCTACTGTAAATGGAAGGAGCTTTACATGTTGTCACATGTCAAAATGTCCTATGTAAAAGAAGCTTGGAGCCATTTCTGATACAATGAAGTGACAACTGTTCATCAACAGGACAGCGCCAGACCCAACGACATCTTCTCTGCTGCTTTGTTCTTAAAGCTCCATTCAGTCAAAAGGTATATGTCCATGTGTTGTTTGATTATAAAGCAGGTCTAGGTTCTATATTAATACTGCGAAAGTATCAAAGCGCTCAGTCCACAGAGAAATGCACACAGCCTGTATTCAGAAACTGAGCCTTAAAACCAGCCATCAGGACTTCTGGAACTTTGTGATGTCACAACAAAGCTGTCACCAAGTCCCACCCACCTGCACCCACCATCCAACCTTGCAGGATTTGGTTTCACTAAGTGTTTTCCTGAAATCTGCTATATTTTTAGTGGATCACTCAGAAAACAGTCAGAGAGGCTCAGAGCCTCCTCTCTTCTGAATGCTCAAGGAACTGTTGTTACTAGAGCTCCAGAGAGAAGTCTGAGAGAGGAGATGTAAAACTATATTGAGATGGTTTCTGGTTCTTAAAACCACAAATATATCTTCTTATGGATCAACACTTCAAATAAAACACAGAAGAGGCAAATATGGAGCTTCAGAAACATGATGGTGGATTTCTCACCTGAATGAGGTAACTCTCAGATCCCACTAGAGCCACCAGTCCGTTGACAGCAGCCAGTCGCTGCATAGTGGGACAACCCTGAAACACAAAGTTTCAGCAGGTATAAACAGACTGAATCTAAAGTGTATGAATGAACAGTGATGTTCCATTCTTCATGTAGCTGCAGTACCTCAGTCAGTAAGATCTTGATCCAGGCAGCCAGCAGTCGGGGGTGGATGTCCTCTGCTTTACCGTGACCAGACAGTGACAGGCCGTGGACAACCAGCCCCAGAGCCAGAGAGAAACCTGGGGTCTGGACACAAGCAGTGAGAACTAAATCTGTGTCCACTGATCTGGCTCTAGTGGTTTTCATCATCAATATGTTTGATACAGTGATACAGCTATTACACAAGACTAGCATTAAACAGCTACTAACCACTCAAGCTATTTCACTGGTCTGATTCTCAGAAGACATGGATAGATTAGACATATGAATTCAAAACCACATACTAATGTTAAAACTGTACAGTTGTATGCAACTGACATATTGCCCATGTAAATGCCCTGTTTTTCTTTATTTATAGAAAAAAATTTGCAAAACATTGTGCATCCGACTATGTCAGTGCCTCGTGCCATCGAGCGTGGGGGAGATGTCAAATGTCCTGTAGTCAGTTGAGAAAATGAGAGTGAAACAAAGGTGGATTCTACCGCAGGACAATGATTCAAAGCAGACCTGAAAATCCACCATGAACCACTTCAACAAACAAACCAACATAGGCATGACTTAAGCAATCGTTAAATTCGTTAAAATTAATAATCATTTAAAATGTGTGGGTAGATTTTAAACAAACTGTGTGAATATCTCAGGAAGAAAAACAGAAAGACTCTTCTCTGGATCACTAAGCACTTATTTAACATGGTGCCCAAACTTCTGCATACAACTGTATGTGTCCACAAATACTTCCTCCTTATCCCAGCAGATACAACACACTCTGCTGCTGACCTGCTGGCTCTCCTCAGTCAGGGTGCGCAGAGTGTTCATGACCTCCTCAGCCTTGGCAGCGTCTATAAGGCCTCCACTGAAGGCTGAGACGCCCACACACGCCACAGAGTACGCCAAGACCTGCACACAGTCAATATTACTCCATTCCAGAAGAAACAACCTTAATAAATATGTTTTGCTAGCCTGTGTGGCCTGTGTCACTTATTTTGGTCTGTTAAAGCAGAGTAAAACTTGTTGTACCTCCTGCATCATGCGTCCCTGCCCGCTGTTGTCCTGCAGGCTGGATAGTAGTTTGTCCAGTGTTAGCATGACGTGGATGTGTTGGTCCTTCTGTCCACTACTGCAGAGAGCTGCCAGCACCAGACCCAGACCCAACATACAGCCAGTACTGAGGAGAGGAGAGAAGCAACATCTGCTGCGTATAGGTTTTAGCCATGCTAACAATGTAGCTCTAGGGATAGCAGGGTTAGTCAGGAACAATCTGTTGGCTCAATATATGGTTTTACTTTTAATAATTAGTCCATTTCTCATCTGTGAACTTAAATTCATAACATGTATAGTTAGTAGGCTTGGGCAATATCCAAAATGTAATATCTCAATACAGTCAAGCCCAAATATCATGAGATACAATATTATCATGGGGGCGTGGGGGGGTTTATTTGTCACATAACAAGGTTCAATGTACACTAAGCAAAGCAGTGAAATGAAGGTCGGACTCAGCAGCAAAAAAACAACAACAAAAAAACAAAAACAAATCAAGGTCTTAACCTAGTACATGTCTGGACCTACGGTCAAATCCTGATTTTATAGCTGTGACATCGTCTGACAACTCACCAAACAAATAAATGAAAGACAAAGACTGAGTTGTGATTTCAGCTGTATTTACGGTAATATGATCACTCAGAGAGAAAGTTAGAAGAGTGTCTCTCACACAGAGCACAGCCTCCATCTGGGATCCACAATATTTAGACTTTATTTACTTCAACTCCAGAACATAACAGACTTTTATTAGAGGCAGATCTTTATGTCTAACTCCCTCTGTTTGATATGTAGAGTTGGTCAGAGTGGTTAGTATGAAGCCTCGTTACCGATGACTTCTCTCTCTCCCTCCCTCTTTCCTACTGTCTCTCTTTCTGTGTCTTATGTTTAGTTATTCATCTGCCTCCTTTATTAATAATTATACATGGAATGAAAGTAGTTTATTTGCTGCAATGGAGATGATGCTCAGTGTATTCAAAGCGCTCCTCCTCTTCCCTTCCTTTTGAGACTACTAGCACCAATTGGCTGGACCTCTGTTGAATAAGGTCAGTCACTTTAAACTCACTAAAAATCACTTATTTTACATTATATATTTTTAATTAATTGACATTACTTTGCAGAAATCTGTTTTCACTTTGACATTAAAGAGTTTGTATTTGTAAATTCTTGTCAAAAAAGCCAAATTATATTGACCATGATTCCATTTATAAAAGCAATAAAAGGGGAAAACATCCAAGGTGGTGAATACTTTTTATAGGCACTCTATCTATCTATCTATCTATCTATCTATCTATCTATCTATCTATCTATCTATCTATCTATCTATCTGTCAGCAAAAGGAAGCTTGGTGTGTTACAATACTATGTTAACCTTTGTGATTCATCACACATAAAGAATCAACCATCTATTACTGAACGAAAGTACCCACATTACCCACATATACTCATACATTACCCACATTGCCTTATACATCATGTCTACAGACAGATCACTGACTTGTATTCCAGGTCGGGGTTGAAGGAGCAACTTTCCAGAGCACCCAGAGGGCTGAGGAGAAGATCAGTGTCTTTCTGAGCAGAGATGTCACTGAGGAACAGAGACAAGCAGCTGAAACCTCACTCAGCCAGTTACAGGTTACAGTACATGTTTGAATCAGTACACTCCCTACCTGAGGCGCTGATGCTGCAGACTGCACAGCACCATGCCCAGCGCAAGGCCGGAGTGGAACTGGACAGCCTGGGAGTCATCAGCAGTAGGTGAGCCAGGCAGGCCTGCCTTCAAGGCTGACAGGACCTGGACCAGGGCATCCCTCTGCCATACCACCAGCACTGGAACCAGCAAGGACAACGCTAGACTGGCACAGGAGCGAGCAATGGCACTTGCTGTGTTCTCACCTGAGTAGGAACGCTGAGGAGGAGAAGGAGGACGTTGTCAAGAGTCTGCAGACCTTATTACAGTACAGCAGCTGATTCATTAACCTACACTTAGAGTCAGTAAGGAGGTTGGGAGTTTGTAATGACACTCTCAGTGCAGTGCAGTATAGTTATAGACTAGAATCACCTCCTTATGGTTGTCTGCCTCTGCCACCTCAGACTACTTTCAGGTTACATCCCTGTTTATCCAGAGTCATAGAAAATATGAACCATTTGTGTGAAATTTTGTCATAATTGCTGTGATGTCTTGAGTTATGGTTAAAAAGTGTTTTGTGAGGTTGCCGTGACCTTTGATCACTAATTAGTTCGTCTTTGAGTTCTAGTGAATGTTTGTGCCAAATTTGAAAAAGTTTCATCAAGGCATTACTGAAATATCGTGTCCATGAGTAGTGTTGTTTTTGACGGCCTGTTTTAATTTTAGTTTTAGTCTAGTCTTTGTGTCAAGCTGTCATTTTAGTTTTTATTAGTTTTAGTCATGTTCATACTCTTTTTAGTCTAGTCAAGTTTTAGTCGACTAAAAGTCTGAGCATTTTAGTCTTATTTTAGTCAGAATCATCCATGACTATTTTAGTCTAGTTTTAGTCGACGAAAACTGATGACATTTTAGTCTAGTTTTAGTCAATGAAAATTTTATTTTAGTCTCTTTCTAGTAATGCAATTCTGTTTAACCCAGTATCGTATAAGTACCTAGTAGTATAGACAAAACCAAAATTTTCTTTTAGCAAAACCCATTTCACAGTTCAAACAAGGTTATCTTATTATTATATTATTGTTACCTTATAGACTCAAGAATACATCCATTCCAGACACACAAGACGCTCTGATTTGAATTTACAACATATTTATTTTACCAACCAAACATGTTTTCCTGTGATTTTGTGGCGGCATTTCTCCCCATCTTTTTCCACAACATATTCTGTTTTTTTTTCCACCTCTATGTAATGAAAGTGTGTCCAAATGTCATTTCGTCTTTTTCTTCCAAAGAAGAACCCCGACTGGCTGCCGGCCATCGGTCCTTTTCTCTGTCGTGTTACGATTCTGAAATTGTCGTTCAACCGCAGCTGCAACTTCTAAATGCCGCCCGCGAGTGAGGAAGTGATGTCGCATGCGTCGGCGCAGTGCGACCTGATGAAGTGAGACACAGGAAACAGAAATACTGCAAAATAATAATAACTCGACTAAACGAGTCGAAATGACGTTATAACATTTCGTCTCGTCTCGTTTTAGTCAACGAAAATGAAGAGACATTTTAGCAGAGTTTTTATTTTGTAAACCACATTTAGTCTCGTTTTTATTCGTCAACAATATTGCATTATATATTTAATTATAGTTATCGTCACATGACCAGCATTTACGTTGCGTCTCGTCTCGTTTTCGTCACGTGATAAAGGTTCGTTGATGAAGATATTTAGTCATAATTTTCGTTGACGAAAGCAACACTATCCATGAGAATAGGACGGACAGACGGACAACCTGAAGACAATATGGTTCCTGCTCTGACTGTCGCCAGCGCAGAGGAGTTTTTACCGTCTCTGTCTGTGTGCCTGTCATTCAGGGATTCAATGGAGCTGTTGCGTGCGTGTGACGGAACTGTGCTCACTGGCCCATCACAATGTGTAATTTTTATTTGACTCAAGGTGAAGCATTGGAGCTGTATATATTGTATGGTTATTTTGTTTTGTACTAATTTTGCACTGGCTGCTGCTTAGAAACTAACTGAATAAAACATGTTTGTCCTGAGTACTTCTATCTATAGCTGCTAAAACACCAAGCTGAGACTTACATGCAGGAACCATGGGAAAACTTGTCCTCTGGCCTTGTAGCTGCTGCTAATTATGCTGAGCAGGGTCTCGAACACCATGGATAACCAGCTGGCTGTGGGCACAAACTCTGGTCCAGCCTGAAATCACACATCAGAAAACAACATCTGGAGAGCTTTCCACACCTATAACCATACAGTGAATCTGATCACACCACCAGACCACCCTATACTCGCACACTCACACACAATTTATCTCAATGTGTTCTAATGACCTTTTCTGTGTGTGCTGGGGGGGGGGGTCCTTCTTGGCTAAAGGATAGGCCCCAGGAAGTATTGGTCCTAAATACAGGAAGTACCAATATGGCTGTACAAATTGCCCGCAATATGAGGGGGGCGGGGGAAGGGGGGGGGTGGGGGGGGGGGAGGGGGGGGGGGGGGGGGGGGGGGAGAGGGGTGAGGTTATTTAGTTTAGATATTTTGTGTATTTCACTAAACTTAAGTTTGGTATTTGGATACATTAATAGGATTTGTAGGATGTATTTCAATTTATATACAAATTGTCCTGTTTCTTTTGTAGTTAGTTTGTGTGTCAGTGTTGATCGGTCAGTATACTGGAAATGTCCCCCTTCTGTTCCGTGTTTGTGTAGGTCAGTTGGTTTGTCAAGTTACTTTATTATCACATGACACATAACAGCTAGGACATATGAGTTGAGGGTTGACAATGCAAACCTGTGCAAGAGACCAGAAGAGTTTAAAATTATCTCTGTACCTGACTGGGAAAGTGAGGGGATGACTATAGATGTCAATTAAGAGTAATAGTAACGCTTATTAATATGTTTTCAATAGCTTTTTTTGTCTGTTCTGGTCTTTATGTGAAAGCTGCTACCACAGCTTTAACAGCACTAAAACACATGGCCACTCACTGATGATAGAGAGATCTATATGATGTTTTTAACAGATTAATAACATTATTAACAGATTAATAATACTAATACTAATAATTGTGTTAATTCAATTTGAATTAGATTACGTATAAATTCAAACAATCTAAATCTATACAACACAAATAAATATAAATAAAAAAATAAACTCACCCTGAGGCTGCCATCGCTGTCAGTGGGCAGGTTGCTCTCGTATTTAGTGAGGACAGCAGCCAGGCCGCTCAGAGCCAGAATTGAGTTTCCCTGAACAACAGGACTGTCCCTGAAAAGCACATTAACACTGAACTTAATCCTGTATAGGCTGTACATGACAGGTCTCCCTGTGAATCTAAAATTAAGTGAGACTCACTTTGTAGCAGCTTTGATGACGTCTGCCAGCTGATCTCTGGCCCTGAGAGGGATGAGAAGGAAAAGGAGGAGAGATAAACACAGAGGAAAGAAAGAGAAAGCGTCATCACTGAGAGGTTGCTCTGCTAATGCAGTGATGTATGAACAATAGCATGCATTCAAAGACGAACTAACACACACAGACTGTATCCTTTCATCTCAGACAGGTGCATCCACCACCTGGCTGACAGCAAGCAGGTGTTTGCTCTGGTAACATGTGACACACTGTGACAGGGATGAAGGCAATTACCAGTATACTTTGATTTAGTCTGATAATTGCTATATATTTTGTGCTGATATACTAAATCTTAACATTACTTTCATTTTTTTTAAAAACTGTATTAGTACACAACACCAAGTGCTGATTCCGTTGCTGAGCTAGCAAGCTAGAGGACAGAAAGCCAATGTATCATTGCACAGGCCATTACATTTAGAGACCAGTGTCTAAAGTTTATTCATTCTGAAATATCAAAGCATTTTAGTCTGAATTCATTTCAGTGCTGACTGACCATCACCAGTTACACTTACCAGTGAATTTTACCAAGCTACAGTAGTAGGCTATAATCCATTTTTGGCCTGGCCATGTGTCACTCAGTCAGCCAATCAGAAGAGAGGCTTAGAGCCTCCTCTCTTCTGATAGGCTCACCAACCTGTGTCACTAGAGCCCCAGAGACAAGGTTGAGAGAGGAGATGTAAAACTACATTGAGATGTTTTTGGTTCTTAATACCACAAATATATCTTCTTATAGATCAACACTTCAAATAAAACACAGGAGAAGGGGAAAATATGGAGAATTAAAAAAGGGTGCAAAGGGCTGAGTAATACAAGATAGATTATATTTGTATACTTGTGATTTGTAACATGTTTACACAGTTAATCCTGTTTTTCATTTGTAATACCATTGTACCATCACGTGTATTTTTTACTGTCTGTATTTGATTTCTCTATACTTCTGTTTCTTTCTGTTTTATTTTAGAATGCATGCATATTTTAATTTACTATATAGGCATTTAATATATTCAGACTATGTACTATACATATTTATTTTACCATGTATACTGAGCATCTTGGACACAAAACTTTCCTTGAGGATAAAAAAAAGCAATTATGCTAGCTAACTACATCTGCTGGCAAAACTGAACAGGTTAGCCTGACATGTAAACTTTAAAACTTAGCAAACAATATTATTTGTTGTTAAACATGATGTGTTTGACCAACATTTTTTATTTTCAACAAAACTAATTAATTTGAGAAAAAAAAGATTTTGTATGCTCCCATTTTTTTTTTAGATTTGGTGCAAAATCAGAGAAATTCTCAGTAAATAAAAAGTGTCTTCTAACTGCAGTGAGTGAAATTATAGCATGAAACAGTTCAAATGTGTTCTAGTTTGAAATCTGTCAATGAAGTCTGTTAATCAAGCACAGTTAATTAATTTTCATGATAATTTTCAAATTTCATGTCATTTGAACCATAGGATTCAAATGACCAAATTTCACATCTATATAATTAACAGTATGGCTTGGCCATTGTTTATGTCCATGCCATGAGTCACCATGATGATGTACCATATATTAGGCTTGGGCAATATCCAAAATTTATTCCAGCTCAAATATTGTGATATACAATATTATCCATATAAATTGTCAGTATTTGACACATGCTCCTATAATTCTGTTGTTATAGCTCAATAAATGAGCAACTTGACTAATACCTGAATTAATCCATCAGCTATGTTAGGATGAGTTCTGAAGCACCTCTCGTATCTGTATTTACACATTCACTGTATATGTATATACGTATACAGTTATCACTTTGTTTGTGTGAGTGATGCTCACCAAAGCCAGGCACAGTGCTGTTTGTACTGCAGCTCCTCGGGGTTCTCTTTGCCTTGTTTCTGTTGCATCTCCAAGTCAGCACGTCGACCCTGAATACATCACAAACCTATAACTATAATTACACCATGCAGGGCGCGCATTTCATTCTCTCAAGCTCTAAACAAAACATACAGTCTGGGTGTGTTAGGCATGGATTTTTAGAAGGTCAATACTGCAAGTAAACCAATGACTAGACATAAATAAGCATGTAAAACAGATGTCATGAAATGTTTGAGCTTCAGAATCCATATGAATTTAATAATTCAAATGATTTCTAGCAGTAAAAGTGAAACAAAGACGAGTTGTTATGATACAGTATGTGATGAAATGAAATCTTCTTCTCCTTGCTCTACTTAACATTGCCTGGAGAATGTTTCCTTTCTAGAACCACATGTAGTATCAGCCATGTCTTCCATAAATATGTAATCAGTGTGTCAGTTGCCAGAAGCACAGACCTGTAAGATGGCGTGAAAAGCTCGGCTCATGAAGCCCCTCCAGGCCTGGGGTAAGAGGAGAGCCCGGTGCCATTCAGACGGCTGGATGTTTACCTACAGACACAAATACAGCAAAATAAAAGAGGTTGACTTCCATGTGTTGAAACCAAAGGGATGTGTGAGAGGCAGAGAAAGGACAGATTCACATGTACCTCATGAATAAGGGCGGTCAGGGTCTGCTGGTGGCTGCGGCTGCGGCTCACGAGGAAGCGATCGATCGGTTTGCCATTGCGATCAGTCTGCACAGGGAGCTCGTAACTGAGCAGCAGACCAGCTTCAACGCGCACGCACGCACGCACGCACGCACGCACACACACACACACACACACACACACACACACACACACACACACACACACACACACACACACACACACACACACACACACACACACAAAATCAAGGTGAGCTATATTCAAGGTCAAGCTCAAATCCACTGTAATGGGGTGGGGCTAGGGCAGAAATTTGTTTCTGGGATGCCACCAACCCACCACCACCTCCCAGTCTCTATGCTTTGTATATGAATCTTGTGTCCTCCAAGGTCCCATCCAGTAAAGTCAACAGAGTACACTTAAAAACAAACAGGAAGAGCACGACCTGCTGTGTATTTTCTGTGTCAATTAGATCAAAACAATCTGACTGAGAAATCTGCCCCAAATAAAGTAAAACAGGGTTTTTTTTGAAAGATTTTGAAACTTTACTAGGAAATAATGTAGCACCAGCTTAGGTGATATTGTACTTGAGTGGATATACATGAGCAAATTTGCAGTCAATCAAACTCAGTGAACCTGGAGCTTTTATTTATTCAGTTTTTAATGCAGAAAGGCAAAAAAAATGTACTTAGAGGCCTCTTGAATGTTTGAGGCAGATATCAACATTGATTAAATGACTAATAACTATTCTTAAATATAAACATAACATACAAATAATCTTTTAGATGTGGCTGATGACTGTGACTAGGACATGTACTGATGTTGTGATGGTGCATCTTAAGTTGAAGATGTAGAATTTCCTCCTCATGGTTGTTTCCTCCACCAACCAGTCAAGTGTCAGGAAATATTTTCGCAGTCTCTGCCTCAAATGATGCGCTGACAACAAGTGGCAGCAAATCTGCGTAGCTCGTAGTTTTTTGCAATAGATTTGTATATATTAGTACATTTTTTGTCGATTGATGTTTTTATTCTACGTCGCCGTTTCGTCTGACGATGGATAAAATAATGTACACAAGAGAAGAACTCCTGGCTTGAAAGTGTACCAGATATCGAGTTGAACATCCCATACCGGCTGAGCTGAAGAAGCGGTACCGTGGATGCAGATCCGGGGCTAAGCTAAAGGCTAGGAGATGGAGATATAAGCCTTTTTCTACCATCGATCCTCATGGGAAATGTCAACTCCCTGGCTAAGAAGAGTGATAAACTGGAGGCACTCGTGAAGAACCAGCGAGCATATCATGAGTGTAGTCTCATGTGTTTCACGGAGACCTGGTTAACCGACATCACCGTTGTGTGGATTTACCCGGCTTCATTGCAGTACGAGCGGACAGAGACGCCAGAGCAAGTGGGTAGAATAAAGGTGGAGGACTGGTTCTGCTTGTGAACAATAGATGGTGCAACCCTGGTCACATCACAGTGAAGGAGATTATCTGCTGTCGGGATATTGAGCTGTTGGCAGTTGGTCTTAGACAGTACTATGTACCGAGGGAGTTCTCTCACACCGTCACCATTGTTGTTTACATTCAACCATGAGCAGAGCCTGCAGTCGCGTGAGACGTCATTGACGAGACTGTAGCGAGAGTACAGACCCAGCACCCTGATGCATTCATTGCAATATCGGGGGATTTTAACCATGTCACTCTCACTTCTCACCTGACTGGCTTCACTCAGTATGTTGACTGTTGTTGCAGTAAATTTTCACTAAAATATACTATGCATTATAAATATACTGAATATTAAACTTATATAACCCAATATAGCTATACTCACAACTGAGGTTAGATTTGTAAGTGAACCACCTTTTACTGAACTAAGCCTGTTACAGAATGGAACCTGGAGGGAATAAAGTTAAAAAAAAATTGTCTGAAGGCCCTGGTTTGACACAGCCTTACCTTTTCTCTCTCCCACCGCTTCAGCTGAAGCTTCTCCTACGGCATCTCCTTCACAACCTGACACCGCAGCTGCAACTCCCTTCACACTGGGGTCAAGTCTCCTGTGTCTCCTATGTTCTTTGATTTTTCAAGTGCATTTAACACCATCCAACCCCCCATTCTTAAAGACAAGCTGGACAGGATGGGGTGGATCCCTGCTTCACGTCCTAGATTGTGGATTACCTGACAAGACGACCACAGTACGTCAGGCTGGGTAACTGTCTCAGGGACAGTGATAAGCAGCACAGGGACTTCACAGGGCACAGTTCTGGCTCTGTTCCTGTTCACCCTGTATACGGCCGACTTTAAATACAACTGTGAGTCCTGCCACATCCAGAAATACTTGGATGACACAGCTATTGTGGTGCATATCAGGAATGGGCAGGAAGAGGAGTACAGGGATCTGACGATGGCCTTCAGTGAATGGAGTGACAAGAACTGCCTCCTTCTGAATGCATCCAAGACCAAGGAATGGTCATTGACTTTCGGAGGTCTAGGCCCACCCTTCAGTCAGTCCACATTCGAGGGAAGGACACTGAGGTGGTGCACACTTATAAATACCTAGGTGTGCACCTGGACAGTAAACTGGACTTGTCCCTGAACATGGATCCCATCTACCAGAAGGGGCAGAGCCGGCTCTTTTTCCCCAGGAAGCTCAGGTCCTTTGACGTCTGCAGTGAAATGCTGCACATGTTTTATCAGTCAGTGGTGGACAGTGTACTCTTTTATGCTGCAGTCTGCTGGGGCAGAGAGACTGGACAAGCTGGTCAAAGAGGCTGGGTCTGTGCTTGGCAGGAGTCTGGACTCACTCATGACTGTTGTGGAGAGACGCATGCAATGTAAGATGGAGGCCATCTTAGACAATACCAACCATCCTCTCCACAATATTTTGGCAGGACAGAGAAGCAGCTACAGGTGCAGCAAACGTCTCATCTCACTGTGCTGCAGAACAGAGAGGTTCAGAAGATCCTTTGTTCCCACTGCCATCAGACTATATAACACCTCAGCCAAAGGAAGTGGACTAATGTAATTATTATTGTTTATTTATTATTAACTGTTTTTATTATTATTATTACTATTATTATTATTATTATCAACAATGAGCTAATGGACACATGAATTTCCCCTAGGGGATAAATAAAGTATCTATCTGAGTTGCAGCATTGAATAATGGCAGAAGTGTTTTGCAGAACATTATGATGTCACAGTGAGGTTGACCTTTGGCCTTTTTGATGTAAAATGTCATCACTTCCTCATTTGATGAAAAAATACTTGTGGTTGGCGAATCTAAAAGCGATCTACTCTCTACTTCAGTTTATTCAGAGCTGGTCTGCTGGACCTTTAACTAAAACAAGGAAAATTAATCATATTACCTGGTTTTAGCTTCACTCTCTTTTTGAAGAGATTTTAAGGTTCCTTTACTTGTTTTTAAAGCTCTACATGGATTGGAACCGGCTCATGCTGCAGATTCTCTGTTGTTTTATAATTCTTCACAAGCTCTTAGATCTTCTTCTGGCTTTTAAAATACAGGCTTTTAAATACACACAATTATACGCACAAGAAAACAGGCAGTGAAGCTTCTTTTTTTTAACCATGCTACAAAACTATAGAATACCTTACCAAGAGCTATAAGAGATGAAGGTAATGTGAAAAATCTGAAACCTATTTATTTAATTTGGCTTTTAATTAATTCTCTCATATTTCATTAGTCTTATTATTTTCTGTTTTTATTTTCATTTATATATTTTATCATTTATCATCTTCATATTGTCTAACTTCATAGTTGGCCTTATTTTATTGTACTATTTCATTTATTTTATAAAGCACTTTGAGCTACATCTCTTGTATTAAAAGTGTTCCATAAATAAAGTGCATTAATATTATTATTATTTCATCCTATTAGACATTTGTGTTTAATTGTATCATAATTATCTAATTCATTCTTAAGTTATGGCGAGGTGAGGTAATAGTGACCCTGACCTTTGCCAACCCTGTCAGTGCTCTCTGATGGACAAACTAGACAGTGACACCACTGTTTCTAAATGACTTCATACATGTATTTTGCATTTTTGCTGATATTTTTTGTTACTTATCATCTGATGCTGATAAATGTGTGATAAGATAAAATCATCACTTCAGATGTTCCAACAGTGGAGAATCAACACTGCTCACACAGTCTACTCCTAACATATTCATCTTCACACAGAGGTTGAATTTACTCACCTGCTAGTCCAGGCTTCAGCCCAGGCTGCTTGTTTTTCTCATAGGTTTTTAGCATGAACGCTGGGATTCCTGCCACTGTTTTACCCTGGTCTGAGTGCAGGTTCCCCCCCCTCAGGGCAGAGAAGTATACCCCCCGTGGCATCTGGCTCATCTCCTGCTTCACCAGTGACGTCAAGAAGAGCTCAAACGCTGAGGAGAAAAAGTGTAACAAGGTAAGAAACAACCATCCTCCCAGATCCAGGCCCTCCACTGACATGATTCCTCACTGGCTTCCCACCATGAACAGTGTTTGATGGGGTGCGTGGCCTAGCAAGCAGGAAGCACCTTGATCTTTGACCACAGTTTGAGTGTAATTTACCTGGAAGAACAGGTGTGGGGGTGAGAGCCATCAGCTTCACGTAAGATGAACCTGGGACAGAGAGATCCTTCTTCTCTTCCTCTATCTCCTCCCCCTGCTCATCCTCTTCACCCTCAGGCAGCTTTGTGGGCGGCCTGGCCTTCACATCAGACAGAACAGATACAACAAGACAATGTAAACACAAGCTCATTATTACAGATATGACACATTTACCACCTGCATGTTGAAGAGAACAGAGACAATCTAAATTAACCACAAATCTAATCATAATCTATAAATGGACCTCTTTATTTTCTTCATTAGTTTTACAGTCAGATAGTCAGTTTTCATTAGATTTTAGGTGTATTCACTGTTTATTCAGAGATTTTGTGATGACTATTTAGAAGGCAGCACCTTCTAGTTACGGTTTGTACAGTGCTCAGATTACAATCAGCAGCCATCTTCATTGTTTCTCTAATTTTGGACTAAAAAGGCTGTGTTTATGCTAGCAGTTCTGTGAGGCTATAGCTTACATGCTAACATGCTGCTGTTTAGCAGGTGTAATGTTTCCCATGTTCACCATTCTTTTTTAGCATGTTAGCATGCTAATATTTGTTAATTTGCAGTAAGTATTGGACAAATCAAATATTGATCTACTGGTTGTGCAAGAGGAAATTTCAGGTGATCAACAAAACATTCAAGAGACCAAAAGACTGACAGACAATGACATCCCTACAGCCACGCTGCTACCATGACTAACTGGCTGCTAGCATGACTAGCTAGCTGCTAGCATTAGCAGCAACCACAGCACTAGCTAACTCACTGTGTTATATGGATATACAACCTTTACATATGTTAAAACATTTATGTTAAGACAGTGATTAGAAGAAAATAAAATAATTCATTTAAATTATTTCATAGGTTTGGGCTGATATTTGACAAAATCAAATACATTATATTTTTAACCCCGGTGATGATATTGTATATCTGGACTGTATCCAGATGTTATATTTTTATTAATTTATTTTTTTTAATTATTTATTAAGTAATTCAATATTATATTTATTTTACTATTTCAGTTCTTACATTCTTATAATCTATTGTAAAACTTTAAAATTGTAACACTCATGATATTTCATATAAGCTGCTACATAATACTGTAATTCTAGGAGGGAAAAACAGCTGATATAATCTGTGTGGAGCATAAGCAGTTATAAAGTTATAGACTCTTACTGCCTCAGGAAGGAGAGTTATTGTGTGGACCTCTTCAGGAAAATCTGCAAGAGCCCTGTAGCCACAGCTGGCCACCTCTGGATCCTGTTACATCAAAACACACACACATACACACACATTAATATATAATTATTGATTAGTGCAGCTGTATTATGTATTAGGTATTAAGTTCAGCATTTCCTAAACTTTTGGATCTCTTTACTTACAATTTTTTTTTAAATTCTGTTTGCAGCATCCACAAGTAATTTTTTATCCATCAAAATCAACACTGCATTGGGAACCATCTGAACTGTCAAACATTTAGAATTTTTGTAAATCATGGAAAAATCCTCAATCAAGGCAACCATTGAACAGGATGTATGCAGAAGAATCTTCATCTCCTCTCTATCTCTGGCGACAGTTCCTGAGTGACTGAAGCCAGCCATCACAGCGCAAGTACGGAAAAAAACAAACATCTGTGACCTGAGCGACTATCATCTGCTAACACCCAGATCTTGTAAACAAGTAAGGTGGAAGAATAAATTGAAATACAACAAGTTGACCGCAGCAATTCATAATCACATTCAGCTCAGGTGTGTTGACCTTAACCTGCAAGGTAAGAAGGCTGCTGGTGCTACCACTGCTAACATCAGCCACAATTGGCAAACCAATGAGACATGGTTTATCCATAGATGCTGTGATCCTGATTAATTGATTGTTTTCTGATCGTTTTCTTACTTCTAGACTAGTCAAGTGGTCTGAATTAAAATTTTGGTTTAATCACCAGAGAAATGAGTCTTTAGAAACATCCCCAGCTCCCTCATCACTCATGACTGTGTCCCTGTACTTGCCGCCTACACCATGTTAAGTTTGCAGATGACACACTGGTGACTGGGCTGATCTCCAGCAGTGGTGAAATCAGCCTTCAGAGTAGATGAGCAGAACCTGGTGCTCAGAGAGCAACATCTTTGTTAATAAAGCAAAGACCAAGGAGCTAATCATCAACTTTGGAAGGTCACAGGATGATCAGTATGCTCCAGATTTCATCACTCAGTGTCCAGCTTCAGGTTTCTAGGGCCAGTTGCACAAACTACCTTAGGTTAATATTTTCCTTAAAGTCTGAGTTAAGGTGTCCTTAAAATAAACACAGATGCCCAAAACAAAGTTAAGTCTTCTCCTTAAGGTTTCCTTAAAATGTTCACTTATCTTAGTGTTATACTTAAGGACTCACTTAAAGTCAGTTAAACTGTTGAACGAAAGACCTTAGTGACCAAAGTAAAGAAAAAAACTAAAAGGTACCTCTGACTCTGTCTTAACTGCAACATGAGCTGAGTTTATGGTGATGAATGAAGAACATGAACATCCCAAGAAGATTGGGAGAACCCTGTTGACCATAAATGATGAGGAACTGATTCTACATCATAGATTTTTAGTTTATAATTTGAGTCTACAGTTGGATTACTCTACTTTACGCAGCTCAGAAGTACTAATGGCAGCAAACCAATGGTCTCTATGGAAACAGTAGAATTTTACCGCTGTAAAATCTCTTTCTCTTTTTTCCTTAACTAAGGAAACCTTTTAAGAGATTCTGTGTGACACGCTTAAATAACTCCCTCATCTAAGGAGAAGTTAAACCTTGGGTGTCATACTTAAGTAGAAAACTAAGGTGTTTTGTACAACCGGCCCCTGGGCATACACATCTCAGAGGACCTCACATGATCCACTAACACCACTGCACTCGTCACCAAAGCACACCAGTGGTTGCTTTCTGTTTGTGTTTTTATGACTACTTAGTTGCAATACTTCATCTTATTTGTTTTTCACAGCATCAAGTATAACTTAATCTTGTGGTATTTCTGAAATAACAATAAAGATATTCTACTATCACTCTCTCTCTCACACACACACATCTTCAATACACAGACCTTGTTCACAGTATAATTCCAAAGAAAGCTGACCACCTCCTCTTTCAGTTTCTGAGAAAAAAAAAAAACAGGTTAAAAGAATTTTCAAAAATCAAACAACACATTGTGTTTGTCAGGAAAGTCTGACATCATGTTACTGAGGAACAGTCTCTATGTGTCATCGAAATTCTGACACCACTTTCCCATTCAAGAAAATGGGAAGAGATTCCAATTACTGACCGAGGTGCTTTAAATCCCTTTTTACCACAATTATCAAAAGAGCCATTTTAACTTAAGAACAAAATAATGCTAAACAATATACGTTACATTTGTTGTTTGTTCCTTATGTTTTATTAATGTTAATACTTTTCAGACACACATGTTATTCTAGCTCCCAGCTCTTAATAAACAAAAATTTTTAGAAATAATTTTTCTTTTTACTGAGAATGAGATGAGAAAATTGACATCAATCTCATGTCTGTGTGTGAAGTACAGAGCTGGAGTCAGGCTGGAGAGGGGCAAACAGCTAGCCTGGCTCTTCAAATATACAGAAACACCTCTCAGTCTCACTGATTAACATGTTGTATCTTATTTTAGTCCATTCATCACAACACACTGGTTTGTCTGTGCTGAAACTATTTGCTGCTCAACTGAGCAGTAATTACACAATACATTTCGGTTTGAGTAGTGATTAGACAAATATATTTAACATGGTGATCAAAGAGTTTCAGAGGTGTTGCTAGTGTATTTTTAACAGAGGTTAGCTGCTTTATGCTAAGCTAAGCTAACCAGGACCTGACTCCAGCTAGGAACAAGCTATTTTGGTTTACATCCTACATTTCCAAGTTATAAATATGTAAAATAGGCATGTCGGTAAATGTACATGTAAAGATGTAAAGTTGGCTGTGTTTATAAAGCCATATAAACATATTAACATAGCAAGCTAGCCAGCTAATGTATGTATGTTAGGGTGTGTCACAACATGTCATTTGGCAGCATGGCTCCCTGTATAAGCCTGATGAATATGATATAAGCATGCATGATATAAGCATGATGAAAACAAAACTCATCCATCTTGATTCTGAGGCCAAAACCCTGACATTTACTGATGCGATGTGTATTTACTTAAGATGTGTGAAAAGAGTTACAACACCTTAAAAAGACCATGATCAATCTTATTGTTGATGACCCTCTGATGATTAAAAATCTCTGATGTGGGTCAGATACCTCGTACTCCTCTGACTTTACAGTGAGCTGGGGAACCAGAGCCAGGAGCTCCGCTATAACTCTGACCATCAGTGGACGGGATTCACAGCTGAGCTCCGGCCCAAGGCGCCTCCATGTCGAGATGATGTCCACCACCTGTAACATAAACCTCATGAAGCTCAGTGGAAGGCAGCCAATTATGATATTTACTAGTGAAATGTGTTCCCCGAGTGACCAGCACACATAAACAGCTTGTACTAAAGCCTACCAATTTTATCCCTAAATAAGGCCATATCAAGCATGGAGGCTCTACCTCCTTCCCTCACTCCCAACATACAGCCCCGCCCATCACCGCAACATACAGAGTGCAGCAGTTAACGAGTGGTGCCATAGTTAACGAGTGGTGCCATAGTTGATAAGCAGAGTCTTTCCCTGTAGTTGTGACGGTGAAACTTGCCAAGGGACAATACTCTGGACTGTCTTTTACTCCCGATGTGTGCGTGAAGGATATAAATGTAAGTTGTCAGCAGTTGTTCATGTTAATATTAGGCCAATGTGCTGAACAGAAGAAGTGGTCAATTTAACACACATTGTAATTAACAATGATTTCTACTGTTGAATTTATGTTTAAAGGTCCATTTCATTATATTTCATGTTCCTGTTATGTACTTTATGCTTTATTCAGACCACACACATACGCTGACAGCCAGGCCACACCTGTTTAACAAGTTTTGAAATAAATAAGCTTTCCTCCTACCTCAAAGATTCTCTGACCGGAATCATTTCCATAGTGTCCCAACCCATACCACCTCCCAAGACTACGCTTCTGTACAGCTGAGTTTTAATGAGACAGCTCAGTTCAATCTGCTTCTTGAAACAGTACATGTGTGAAAACACAGAAGCTGAACAGAGGCAGGACAGGACAGAGAAGCAGCTACAGGTGCAGCAAATGTCTCATCTCACTGCGCTGCAGAACAGAGAGGTTCAGGAGATCCTTTGTTCCCACTGCCATCAGGCTATACAACACCTCAGCCAAAGGAAGTGGACTAATCTAATTATTATTGTTTATTTATTATTAACTGTTTTTATTATTATTATTATTATTATTATTATCATTATCCACAATGAGCTAATGGACACATGAATTTCTCTTGGGGGATAAATAAAGTATCTATCTATCTATCTATCTATCTATAAAAAAAGATGCTCTAATTTATCTGGAAAATTTGAAACTAAATGCATGTATTGTGTGTATGTGTGTGCGTGTGCGTGTGTGCGTGTGTGCGTGTGTGTGTGTGTGACCTCTGCCCGGCACAGCTCCTGTAGTCCTTGCAGGGCGAGAGCAGCTGGGGTTGCCATGTCTGGTCTGGTGCACTGGTTCAGAGTGTGTGTAATAGCAGCCAACATATCACCTCCGTGCTGATAAGGCCTGACAGACACACACACACACAAAATACAAACATCTGGACGACTGAGGTGGAAAACAAACATAAAACTAGTCGTTATTTCTATTTTTTTAAGTTTAAAAAGGATGAGGAAGAACAATATAATTTGACAAAACCATTCAAACACAAGGTCCACTTACCAGCTTTTTCGACCTCATCACATGATGTTCATCAGCAGATGGAACCAACGTGGATAACAAGTCCTGAAAGTGCCATCTTAATGACAACTGAGCAGACTCCATCTGCTGATGAAAACCACTTGATTCAGCTAAAAGCTCCAGGAAAACCTAGCAAGTAGACCCTGAGTTTGGATTGATGTGTCATGATTATTTCCATGGTCAAGAATTTTCATGCTTACAAAAATATTTTTAGATTTCCTAGTAGAGACTTTTACCTTTATACCTGTAATATGTGGTAACTTTATTAGTAAACTTCATTATTCATTACCTCATTATAAGGAGTCACAGGCCTGTAAGGAAGAGGCCCATTGTCCTGCACCAAGGATTGATAAGATTGAAGCTAATATTGTCCATAGTGCATGTGTGAAGTGTGAAAACCATGGAACTTTCTACATCATAACTTACTAAATATGAATGAATTTGAAATGACCAAAGAAAAACAGCAGACAGATGATCAGTCAGTCCTTTGTCAGTCCCCATTATATACATTCAGCTACACCCTCATGTCTATGATGGTGGGATGAGGGTCAGCACATCAAAGTCTGAGGCCATGGTTCTCTGATTGCTCTCTGCAGGTTGGGACGGTGAAGTGAAGGAGTGAGGGAGGGGATGATGGAGCAGGAGATTGACAGGCTGATTGGTGCAGCTTCACTGGTGAAGTGGGCACTGTATCAGACCGTTGTAGTGAAGAGGGAGGTGAGCCCAGTCGATCTTTGTTCTGAACCTCACCTCTGGTCATGAGCTCTGGGTAGTGACCCAAAGAACAAGATCATGGACGTGGATACAGGTGGCTTAAATGAGGGAGGACATTCGGGGGGATCTTGGAGTAGAGCCACTACTCCTTCATGTTGAAAGGAACCAGTTGAGGTGGTTTGGGCATCTGGTTATGATCTTCCTGGGGGAGGTCTTCTGGGTAAGGCCCGGGTCGACCCAGAACACACTGGAGAGATGATATATTTCTCATCTTGGCTTGGAGCACCCTGGGATCACTCAGGAGGAACTGGAAAATGTTGCTGTGGAGAGTTAGTTTGGACTACTATGCTTGACCTGCTGGCACCGAGACCTGATTTAGTCTGGTTAAACTGTACCCTGGTTTGTTTTCCCCCTTGGTACGATTCAGTCCCAAACAAACTCTGGAGCAGTTTTTGGTGTGAAAGATTTCTGAACTCACAAGTTTGAGCTCAACGGTTCCCATAATCTTCTTCCTGTGTTTACTTTCCTGCTCCAAACAATTTGACCAATCGGAGGAGTGAACGTTCTCACGTGTTTCGTAATGATGCATTTTGGTTCACTTGAATGCGTGTGAACGCAAACGGAACCTACATATTTACAAACTCATCAACAGAGTTGGACCAGAGCAAACCAGTTACACCATGTCGAGTGTGTGTTTGTGTGTTGGTCAGACCTCTCTCTGCAGATGTCCCTGAGGCAGGCAGCCCGGGCCAGGATCTGTTCCCACTGGGCGTCCCTCCCCACCACCACCCTGTTGTCCTGCTGACCCAGCAGACGCTGCAGCTCTGGGTAAACTCGGTCCTTACAGAGGGGAACACAGTCAGCTGTGAGTCAAGGCAGGAAAAATATGATGATGATCACTATTTACTATTTCAGACCTGTTTCTTCCAGAGAGCAGTCATGAGGCGCATCGCCACAGCTCTAAGCTTAAGGGAGCTGGCAAGCATGTGGAGAGTCTGTAGCACCATTGGGACACACAGCTGTAACATAACAACACATGTAAGTTTTCAGAATATGAATTATACTCTAATAAGAATCACAGTTCATGAGTTGAGGGGGGGGGGGGGTACCTTATGAGTCCCAAGGTTTGGCAAGCAGTTCAGCAAAGCATGAGCCAGGTCTGGATTCTTTTCCTTCCCCAGTTTGAACAACAGAACAGGGATGAGGGAGGGGACCTGCAGACATATGTCAGTCAAATGAAGCTGGGGGTGAGGATACTTCACAAACGTCCTGAATCTAAATCTCTGATTAGCTGATAAAATAAATCTAAACTTTATACATTTTTTGTTTTCATTTTGTAGCTCATTTTATTTTCCACTTCCTTCATTGTTCTTGTTTTTGGCTGTAGCACAAGGTCATCATTTCTTTACTTACCCCACGAAGCATTGCCTATTAAAGCTGCACAATATTAACAACGGATCTAATGAATGTGTCATTTGAAAGATGTTCATACACAGTGAGCTTTTTAGCCTGTTTTATTCAGTCTCACTCCTCTCATCAGCACCAAACAGCAGACAGACAAGGTCAGCAACTAGCTGGTGAACTGATATTTTCCACAGGAGTTGGAGGAGACTAAACCAGAACTAAAACTGGAATCAAGTGGACATTTATGCAAAATTTTAAGAAGTTTCTTCAAGACGTTACTGAGATAACCCTTCCATGAGAATGAGATGGACAGACATACTGTATGTATGGAAGGACGGGCAACCCGAAAACAATATGCCTCCGACTCTGACCGTCACTGGCGTGGAGACATAATGAGAACAATGTGAATCCTAATGTTGCTCTGTGGCTGCAGGTTTAAATGATTTGCCTTGTCATATAAAATATTAGTTTGGTAAATTACAATTCTTAGGGACCAGCATCCTTTAGTAAACATCAGTATTTACTGATGCAGACCTGTATATATGCACAGAGCCCAGAAGGGTGGGCTGTGGAGGTATCAACATACAGATGAACCAGTCCAGGTCATGGACTGTCTTACCTCCCAGTCCCCTCATGATCTGCCCCACGGTCAGGGTCTGCTGATCCCAGCTCATTTCCACTCTCACAGACAGAGGTTAGAGAATGTAATGAGGGACAACACTGGGTTAACACTTCATCACTCCCTTTAGTGCTGGGGTAAAAAAAAAGAGCTACTCAGGGTCCTTGGAAAACATGTGGTCAACATCCCTGCAGTGTGCAGCCTTTAATACACATAAAGCACTTACTGCTGCCCTGCACCTTGACTGTTGCATAGCAACCACTTCACCTGCATGACTTAAGAGGAAGATGGAGGTTTCTCTTCAAGTTGAATCCCTGAACAGTGTGTTGCTGATCCTAAACCATGACCTTAAATGAATGAAATATTTTTTCCAATATATCATAAATGTAATCAATGTTAGAGACTGCTCAGTTTAATTATCTCTGATTTGATTTATAAGCAGTACAACAAAATTATGAATGAGTTTCTGTGGGATAAGAAGAAAGTCTGTCATCTTGAGCTGTGTCATCTTGTGCTGAGCCAGTTCAAAGACTTTATTTAGTTTTGGAGTTTTAAGTATGTTGGTGCAGAGCACCACAACATATTTGATCTAATTTATTTTTTATCTTCCAGCAACAGCAGTAGATGAAGAGTAGACTCGCAGTTTTTGCTAAGTTCAGCTTGTGTGCCTGTCACAAAGCATACAGTTACTGAAAATTTCAAACACCTTAACCTCCATAATGGTCACGCTGTTATTGAAGAGTTTGCCAGTTCTGTATGTGTTTCTAACCCTGTAGCTAACAAGTGTGGCCAGCTTGCCACTTCCTTTTTTTAGGTGGAATAGTGTGACAACAAAAACAGGGGTTAACATATAACATAATGATGAACTAGTATGACAAGCAAAAATTAAAAAAACAAAACAAAACAAGAAAAGGCAAGCATACACATAGGATGATAGATAACACATGTAATATCAATAATGGGCAAATGTGCAATGATATTTGAAGCTGTTGTATCATCATCATACTGATGTATGTGGTGTTGTATTAGAAGAGCAAGGGAGATTAGCGTGTGTGTGTGTGTGTGTGTGTGTGTGTGTGTGTGTGTGTGTGTGTGTGTGTGTGTGTGTGTGTGTGGGTGTGTGTGTGTGTGTATGTGTGTATGTGTCAGTGTGTGTTGTAGCAGTAGTGTCTTTATAGTAATAAATACTGAGTAATATGATAACAATAATCATGATATAGTTATTCACTATGCTATAATACAGGGACCCGGCCCGATTGAACATCACTGTGTGTGTGTGTGTGTGTGTGGGAGAGTTTTATTTTTATTTAAATCTAATGTTTTCTTTTTTATTTTAATTTTCGTGGAACCCGTCAGTTGAATAGACTGCCTGGGGAGACTTTGAGCACGGAGCGGGAGACAAACAGCGCAGTGAGCCCCCTCCTCCCCTCGCGCGCGGACGATATAGCCAACCAGTGAAGGAGACATCCCCCATCCCTAAGCTTAAATTGCTTGCACAAAACTTTTGATCAGCACTCAGCATTTGTTTATTGTTGTTGTTCATTTAAACTAGTATGCACAGAGAGGAGGGGGCGGGCGTGAGAGAGAGAGAGAGAGAGATCTGCGGTCTTGGCCATTAGTTCATGTTATTTTTATGTAGCTAATATGTTGTCAAATATGTTTAAACTTAAATAAACTAGCCTACCTATACAGTAGTTATGTCTCGTTGTATTAGTTTGTCCTGGTATTGATGTGATGCGCGTCATTGAATAATGCGCAAATAGATATTCAAATAGTTTGAATATATGTGTTTTTTAGAGGGAATATTCAAACGTCATTTTTGAGCAATTTTGACAGCCCTAGCATGGATAGGACAATGTTATGTTTTCAGAGGGTACTGTAACTTGCTTTAGGCTTCTATGTAATTGTAGGCTTCATTGTGAGGTTATTGTGGTGCCAATGCAATTTCTTTTTGATGTGTAGGGCTTAATGAATAATTTCAAACAGTGATGTTGAGTCAGTTTTTGGTCTTTTCAGTTCGAAAGTGTAATTCGGCCCGCTGAGGTCTCACTTGAAAAAAATCTGGCCCCCTGACCAATTTCACCCTGGCATCCCTGCTATAATATATTAGTGGTTGCTTAGTTTTTATCTGTGTGCCTGACAGCAAATCAAGTTTTCCACATGGAACATGGATTAGAAATATGTGTTATGTTGAATAAATCGCTTTGTTTTTTGACCTGGCCTTTATGTATCGCTGACTGTTATATAAATACCACCATATATTTTCTCTCTCTGCTCTGGACAGACACTTACAGTTCCAGCAGGATCAACAGCTGCCTAACAAAAACTTAAGGGGGTTCCCTGTTTTCATGAACCTCCACCACCCACTGTTAACATGAACATTAAATTATTTTGTATTTATAAGATGATTTTTATTGAACTCTATATTAATGTCTTCTGTTTTTCATTTTTACACTTTTGCTTCCCTACAAACATTTGGGTTTATGCTTGGTGAGGTCTTGAAAGATGAGAAAAGCAGGACTAGAATCAACTGTTTTGCCTTGAGGTATATTCTAGTTTTAACCAAGTACCTTATTTCAATACTCAGTCAGTTTCTAACAGCTTAGGAGAAGGGCTTTTACTTGAGATGCCCGCCAGTGTTGAACTGAGCCGTGTGGATTATCTACCTGGCAGGGGTCAGCTGCAGCGAAGGACTGGCATGTGTCCAAAGCCAGCTGGCAGACATCTTCCTGACCCGTAATGATGAGATAGGTCACAATGAGGGTGAGGGAGCAGGGCAGACGCTGACCGGACGACACGGCCAAGCGAACCGACAACAGCCAATCAGTGGCTGGCGCTGGATCATCTGCCACTTTACGCAGTATGGAGAGAGCCACAGTGAGCTCGCTGTACCAGGAACTGAGAGGAAGCACGAGTGGTGGAGCAGGCTAAGGGAGGAAGACAGATGAAAAAGTAAAATACTCAATGCTAAAAAAAAGTATAATTCTACTCATTAAAAAATAATAATGAGTGTCAGCTCTTTAAAACATGGTGTGGTACCTTGTAACACTTCCCTTATTGTATCTTGAACTATAGATGAATTGAATGAACTATCCTTTGACCACTACAGGTTTCTGAAGGCAGCAATGCCACAATGAGTTAAATATGTCAAAATCTTTATACAACTCATCCTTTAAGAATGAAACCTAAATTAATGAAAGTATTAGATCTGCCTTTGTGAGTTAGCTGTAAGACACAACATACTGTATGTAGTACTGACAATAATGTTTTATCAACAGGGATGTTGATAAAATCATGAAGAAGACCCTTCATTGTGCCACCTGTGCTTGTTTGCAGTGAGCCAAACAAAGCTAGCATAATGCTCCCCCAGCATATTCGTGAATCAGAGGTACGATGTGTAACACAACAGTGTCAGCGTCCAATGTCGGCTCTCCCTTTCACACAGATGTCAGTCCAGTTCTGTGTCTACTTCTGTTGTCGCCTACTACTACTCCTGCTTCTCAGGCCTTGAACAAGCTGTGTAAAAGAGGCTAATAATGATAGAGTCGTGACAGTTACTGTTTCATGAAAACACAGTTTAAAATCAAATGATTTCACTGGCTATTTGCAAAGAAGTTCTCTGTCTAGACAGACAGAGAAACAACAGAGTTCCAGCTGGTCAATGCAACTGAGGCGACCTGTTCCAAGTCAAAACATCAGCCTATAAATGCAACAAAACATTTGAAGTAGTTTGCCTTTAGATCCAGTAGATGGCGCTCTAAAACTTCACTATCAGCTTGACCTATGACATTCCCTGTTGACCCTCAGTAAACTCAGCAACTTGCAAAATTGTGTTGTTTGCTGCAAAAATGCGAGAAAACTAGCAAAGCCATCCTGAATGGACAATCACAACACCAAGGTATCAGAGTTTGGAAATGTTTAAGCTTCTACACAGTAGATGACAAAGTAACTAACTAAAGATCTCCAGAAAGAGACCTCAATCTAAAAAATTACGTTTAAAAAAAAGTGGGTTGAGCAGGCGCCCCATATGTAGAGAGTACAGTCCTCGCTTCAGTCAGCCCCGGTTCGAATCCCGCATCGGATGGCCCTTTACTGCATGTCATTCCCCCTCTCTCTGCCTCCCCATTTCCTGTCTCTCTCTACTGTGCTATCCAATAAAGGCATAAAAAGCCCAAAAAAATATACTTACTAAAATATATACTATACTATATGTACTATATACTAAAAATATATATATATATATGATTCATGTGGAAACAATAAAGAAACACCAGTGCTCTGAAGCTAGCACAACTTGCAAAGCTATCTACCTTCTGACCTTTTTTCAATGTCCTCCTTTTTTCATGTCATTTCATGTTTTTAATACCACGACCATCAATGTTTTTCTTTTCCCTCTGACCTGTGATGCTGATCTTCTGGCCACTGCCAAACCTTTTATTCTACATGTGCCCCACACGTCCTGTTCATGTAACTGTGTTTGATTTGTTTTAACTGATTGCAATTGATCCTGTGTAAGAGGCTGGACTGTGACGATCAGTGAGTCTCCACACAGAGGACATAGACTCAATCTGAGAGCAAACCACTTCCTTTCTGTTTGGATATTGCCTCCATAAAAAAAAAGCCTTTGAGGACCAGCTTCAGTGTTACCTGTTGGGGTGTATCCGCCTGCCTGCTGATGCTGCGGAGCAGGCTGTGGGCCAGGCTCTTGTTGAGGCTGTGTGTCCTCCGGTCAGCCAGAGGCTCAGTGAGGCCTGAGCAGGACAGCAGCTGCAGCACAGGAAGAACCAGGACTGGACTCAACCAGGGTGCCAGCTCAGCCTGCTCAGGAGCTAAACTCAGTGCTGTGTGAGGAGAGAGATGGAGGGAAAAAATCCCATCAAGGTTAATGAATCCAAACAGACAAATGAGGTTGTTAAGTAAAACAAAGCAGGAGAAAAATTTAATTAACAACAGAGCAACAGTGGGGACTTCAACATGTAGCAAGGAAGGATTATGGTGGCTTCAACTATATTTTATAATGTATGAATAAATTACACTTTATCTAGCTCCTCATGTATTTAAATCTGATGCAGTGCTACAACTATTAAATTTGGCATAAATTAGAGAAAAAATCCAGACAATGTTCTGAGATAGAACTAATGCAATTATTTAAGTTTAAGAGGGAACCAGAAAAAATATGGTAGTTACACAGACATCCACTTAAACTTCAATAGATATGAATTAATATTGGAAACTCGTATGGTTCTCTGTAGACACAGTTGACATTCTGTGCACTGACTAAAAGACTCTCTGTGCTCGCAATCAATTGGAATTAATTAAATGGAAAAATACTTATTGCTCACGCTCTCCTTCTTCACTCTCATTAGTGCCAATCAGTAAAGTTCAGATCTTGGCCTATGACAGTTTGCTGAGGGGGAGTAAAATAATATGCTTTGAGCAGGCCTGCTGTATTAAAACATGCAAGTGGTGCAGCCTTCACAACAGCAACATATTAATCTATAATGAATTTCATATCAAGAACAGTTATGCAGCTAGACATGATATTCATCACATAAACCAATTACAAATGAAATCCTATAAATGTGCTACAGTTGGAGTGTTTGGCTTTGTTTGTTTTTCTGATCATTTTATTTGCAGGTGAAGATTTCTCTCTCAGTTTAATGTCTGGACAGTAGAATGAGAACTGGACGAGAACTTACTACAGGAGCATTTTGATCTGTGTTTTTATGTGCACGATGAAAGTGTACATAAAAAGACTTGAGTGGAAACACCACAAATAACAATGTTTTTAGACAGTGGTCATATCTCAGAAGAAACGATAATGTGATGAAGTTTGGTGGAATTTTTCAAATACATGTTGTAATATCTGCTTCTTCTTCTATTTTAGACATCATCATCATACTGTCATTCACTGTAACAGGCCAGGCAACTTCACAAGAAAAAGTCATATAAGAGAATAAGACAATAATAACAGCCTGAGAAGAAATTAAAAGTCCAGAAATACCAAAGATTTGTTTTGAAACAGTGTCACTATTCTATAGTTTTTCCACCAGAGTAATGACAAGTTTATTCCTACACTGCAAAATGTCCTGTACATTTTTTGGAGGCAAATCTGTTGATAATTATCAGATTTTTTAAACTCTCTAATATTAATATCAGTATTGGCAACAAAAATTCTGTATCAGTTGTTCTGCAATAGTAATTAAAAGTCATAATATTATATTATATGATTATAGAATTAAACTCAGGAAATACATTAAATGTCATTTTTTCTGGCTTTAATTTGCTTCTGAATTATAAACTTTTAATCTCTGTATTCTGGCTACTGCTTTAAAGGTCCATACAGTCTAAAGGTATACTGTATATCCATGTGTTGTTTGATTATAAAGCAGGTCTAGGTTCTATATTAATACTGTGAAAGTATCAAAGCCTCAGTCCACAGAGAAATGCACACAGCCTGTATTCAGAAACTGAGCCTTAAAATCAGCTGTCAGGACTTCTGGAACTTTACGCAGTCACTGCCCTCAGACACGCCCCAAGCCCCATCAACCTGGACCCACCATCCAACTTTGCAGGATTTGGCTTCACTAAGTGTTTAGCTGAAATCTGCTATATTTTTATTGGATCACTCAGAAAACAGTCAGCCAATAAGAAGAGAGCCTTTTGGTTTTTAGTATTCGCTCAAAATATTTCAGCTTTTTCCGCTAATATGAAGATGTCTATTGAAGTCATGGGGTATAATGACTTTTAATAGCAAACTGACTTCCTGTTTATGCTGTGTTCAGCTTGAACCCTCTCAGTCATTTGAACCAATGCAGGAGGCTTCTCCAAAAACAGCTTCACCCAGCCAAAAATGAACATCTGCTGAAACACAATATCATTTGTCAAGCTGCACTGGCCAATCAAATCCATGTGAGCACACATTCCTGGTAGATCACTTTCTAACATGAAAGTCTTAACTCTGCCCGTTGGGATCAAATATAAACTGTTTGCAAAGATACACATTCATGTAAATGAAGACAGTTATTACCCAGACCGAGCAGGCTGGTCTGCTGAACCGCAGGGGCCTCCAGCAGGAGCAAAGCCACACCCATCATCAACTCGTCCACTGGCAGCTCCTAGAAATAACAGTACAGCTATAGATTGTGACAGTGCTTGTACTGTACAATGGGCTGTACTGATGAGTGAGACAGTGAAGCTAAGCATTAATGTTGCTGTCTGACCTGTTGGCCAGCAGGAAGTAGCTGCTGTAACAGGTTGAGAAGTGGCCGACAATCTCCGTTCAACTGGAGGCAACGCTGACAGGCGCACAGCAGATGCAGAAGCAGCCTGGCTCTCTCAGTCCTCCGGTGCTCCTCAGAGACTCCAACAAGACCCTGAAGCAGAGTGTCCACGAATCCACACAGCTCCAGCACCGCCTCCATGCTGTCCACCTGTCAGCACAGAGAGACCAACACCAACACCTCTTAACCACTTTCCTTAAAGAAAAATACTCCAGTGAGGCCGCTGTAGGTCCTTTAAGCTGCTGCAGTCTTTTAGCTCCAACTTGGACCCCAAGATTTTGTAAAGTTAAATTTTCTAAAGCGTCTACGTGTAGATTTTATTTTTTTTTTTTCTGACATTCCAGGATATTTTCAGTTATCTTACTGGTGTAAGATTTGTTTGTAGAAAAAAATCACTGCTGTATGCTAAGTTGTCTTTTTTTATTCTTTCACTCAGAGCCAACAAAGCTGGAAATTTACAAATCCTACACATAAAAGCTTTGAGTGGAGCAGAGTTTTCATACATTCAAACTGATATTGGATTGTTTTGGTGGCTCACTCTGCCACTCTGCTGGTGCCCCGGTCAGCTTTCCTAACTGGGAGCACGCTGAACCTACTGTGAGTAATGTAACGAATATTCATGAGTACCTCACACAACCCCACGTCAGAAAACCTGAACTATCCATTTAAGGCTCAGTTTCTGAATACAGGCTGTGTGCATTTCTCTGGGGACTGAGCGCTTTGATACTTTCACAGTATTAATATAGAACCTAGAGCTGATCTATAATCAAACAACACATGGACATCTACCTTTATACTATATGGGCACTTTAAAAATATATTGTAAACAAAAGCAAAAGATGCAATTCAGTAGATATTCTGTAAAAAAACAGAAACAGTAACATCATTAGTTGATGTGAGTATGAGTGAAGGGAAAGGGACCATGACCAGGAAACTACAAGTATGCTCAAATATGCTGTGTTTGCTTCTCATTTTACTCTTGTGGGTTCAAAGAAAAACATATCAAATGTTTACCTGCAACATGCTAACACGTAGTTATCGAGCCCGCTGAGTAATGTCAGTTACAAAGTATTATTTATCTGCTGACTAATGTTGCTAACATTAGCCCCCTAAGCTATAACACCACACCAGACCAATTAAGATTGTAGCAGCAAAACCCCTGACTGAACTGAACTTAGTGAAGTTGTGTTTTATTGCTTATGAATTCAACTTCTCACTTGTATAGAAGGAATTTGTTACTTCTTCTTCATACTTTTAATTAAATGTATTCATTCTCATGTCCTTTTACAGGACATGATGTAAACAGAAGAACATTAGAATTTTTTGCACTGTATTTCCAGCAACTTCAGAAAACTAACAATTTAAGGCAGTTCCTGGTGTCAGCCTCTCATTGATTATTGCCTAAATGTACCTATTCCACTATCACTGCGTCACCTGCATGTATGGAACCAGCTGGCAGAGGCAGTGCAGCAGGCTGTCAGACACTGTGGAGGGCTTCTCCTGGTCCTTGTCCTGGAGGACCGATCCAACTCTGGGATATGTGGGCAGCAGCACCCTGAGGAGGCTGTGTCGGAAGAGGGCGTGCTGGGGTTGCCTCTGAGGTTCACAGTACAGGTACTGCAGGAAGGGGGCCAGCATGGTGATGTAGACTGGTTGATTTCTGCAGTGTGTAGATACATAATGTGTTAATAAGAACGTCTGGAGGCATCACATAATGTTGGCTCACATCAATCTGGCCTCAAAGTGTCTTTGACCCAGTCCTTGTGAGCTAAATGCTCTATGTTCCATGTGCTGTGGGATGTGTCAGTGTGTATTTGTCAGTACTGCATAACAACAGCTGCCAGTGGTGTGATGAGTTGTTTGGGATGGGTGCTCTTCACAGATGGCGTTGAAATGCATGCACTGAAGGAGTGAGTGATTGGATAGAGGGTTCAGGGCCTCTGCTGTGGCTGACCTGTCAGCAGCCTGCTGAATGAAATCATCAATCTCCAGCAGCAGAGCTGGCCAGCAGTCCACTCGGTTCTCCAGGGCTGTGATATATGGGTGAGGGCTGGTCCTGGAAAACAAGGCCACGTTCACATAGATGTCAGTGTCATACTTCTTATTTTATTCCCATGTTTGTGACAGATTTTACCAGATGCGAAAGGTTATTATGATACAACATGAACAAGTGTACCAAATATGAAGATATTGCACTAAAAACCACAAATGTGAACTCATGATGGCACGAGAGGAAAAGTCATTAGCTTGCATTGTGTTGGGACCTTGAATATCTGTAACAAATTCATGGCAATACAGCCAATTGTTGTTGAGACATTTTACCCAAATTCAGTGCTGCAGCGATTAAGTATTTTTGTAGACCAACCTGGAGCATCTCCCTGGTTCCCTGCACTTAAAGCCGATGAGATTTTCCATCGTTTGTGTTGGATTATTAGATAAATTAAACAGCAGTTTCTGATCCTGACAGGTTTAGTTCAGCAAGATCATCTTCATTAATGAACACCACTTTATGATGTATGAAGCCTCAATACAATCAGAAGTCTTCAACATCACCACCACTAAACTTCAGCTTGTAGATTGATTTAGCTCTGACCTCTTCTACAAAAGCCTTTCCTCTGACAGAGTTAGTGACAGTTTGTATAAACATGAAGCTGTGAAGGTGGACTGGTGAGTTTATTGGTTTTCATGTTCAACATGATGACGTTTAACGTCCCCGACAATCTCTGTAGTCTCATTTAGACACTTGTTAGCAACCGTCCTTTTTAATAGACAGTAAAAGCTTCAAAAAATCAGGACTGGAGTATTTACTGATGTATTTTATGTTGTAGAATAAAACATAAAAATGTCTTGGGTTAACCACAGACCTTATTTTGGTCATCTGACCAAAAATCAGTTCAAAACACCCAGAAACTTCAGTACAAGCAAACAGGAAGTGCTAAAATGCAAACTATTTCCGGGTTTTGCCACTCATCCCTGCAGCACTCTATTATGTACAAATCCATCCAGTAGATGTCGAGGTGAATCCTGCACTTGCACAATGTCAGCTGTGATTGGCTCCAGCCCCCCGCGACCCCAAGATAAGCGTTATGGATAATGAATGAATGAATTTCCCTGGGAGGACTAATTCAACCCTGGAATAACCCTGGCTTGTCTATGGTTTGCATAATTAAACCCTTTAACAAATGACATATACAGTACTTTCATTCATGCTTAGTGCTTCCTATTTTCCAAAGGATAGGATAAAGTTTTACAATGACTTCCTTTTTTCTAAACAGCCATGGTTTCAGTTCATTTAAATATAACCTAGAAACCAATTAGCAAATTTTGAATCTTGCTTAAGATTTCTCATTATGTATTTATCAAGAGTATATTATCATACTGCAGTAACTATGGAAACAAAGGAAGGTTGTAATAATTTAAACTTGCAGCACTATCAACAACTTAAAGAGAAATGTAACTGCTTGTTGAAACCTCCAGTGGTTTAACTCTCACCTGCTGCAGTGATGTACCTGTAGAGGTTTATTTCATGTGTGTCAGTTTACCATGACTTTGCTGTCAGGTGGGATATATGGCAAAGTACACTCGAGACTAAATTAGCTGCTACAAGCAAAACACACCCAAATCTCCAAACCAGCTATCAGCGACTGATGTTCATTGTACATTACATGGACACCAGACTTTGACAAGAAGGAATGTGAAGAAGAACAATGTGTTTTAATTAAAAAAAACAATAGCTGTGTCCCAACTCAGGGGTAACATCCTTCAGGGGACGTGGTCTACGAAGGTGTGGCCCCTCATAATCGGTGTACACCACGAAGGCCGAACTGAAACGAAGGATTTTCGCTTTGCATCACCAGCTGTTCCCACCCTTACCGTTGAGTCACAAAGCACAGCTCTTGTTGCCGAGAAACCTTGACAACATGTAACTTTTTTTTATAAAAACTTGGAAGTTTTAAGGCCTGTGGTTTTAACAGTTGTAGCGTTAGCTGTTGAACTGAGCTTAAACCCAATACTTGGGTTATTTGCTTTAATTACCAGCACAGTGAATCTTGGGCGAGTTGGGCCAAGAAGAATCCACCTGCTGGAGCCTTCATTGTCCAGAAAAAGAATGACGCATTCCTCGGATGCATTTGAATGAGCCTTTGAAATGGACCAGTCTAGTCGAGCTGCTGTGACGCAATCAGTCTTCAAATACATCCTCTGAAGGATGAGACTCCTGAATTGAGACACATCTTGTATCTCTGGTTCTGTTGCTTTTTTAATCAATAAAATAGAAAATAGACAATAAATTCTACCACCATCACCAGCCTTTCGGCCTCTATACGATCTGTGTGTAGCCTCCATTATTCTTAAATTTGCAATCCCATCAAGTCCAGACAAAACGGCGGGGTCATATCCAAGGTGAAGTCTCTGTGTATTGTTAAGACTGCAGCCCACAGACGGGCCAGAGGTTAACAAACAGGGCTGGTGTGTGGGGGTGGACACCATCATCAGCTCCACTTCATCAATGCATTAACATCAATCACCACATATCTAAGTGTAGGAAGGAAGTTGAGTTCAGAGCATGTGTGTGCCTGTGACAGCCTGCAGCGTGGGCTGAATTCCTTCCCTCCCATAGTGTTATCTGTCTGACCATCTCTGCCTCCCCTCCTCAGATTCCCCGTGGCCATCTCCAAACCTTCAGCTTCAATACAGCTCCCATCCATCAGCCACGCACACAGGTCTCTACTTTTCAGCTGCCACACAAAAGAAGAGGCAGGAAGTCAAGACAGAGACCGCCCTCCTTTTAGTTCAACTCCAAGTTCACAGCTAAATCAAATTGCTGGCATACAAATGAGCCAGGAAGAATCTGTCCTGTGGATGTCTGCAGGTTGCACTAACCTCTGAGGCAGTCTTTCAGCCTTATACATTTTGCAGCAGCGGCCCCCCAGTGCAAAATGATCCCTACTGCTGCAATATAATAAAGTTGCAATTACATGATTCTGCAGAGGGCTTTTAATATGAAATAATGGATACAGGAATTGGAGTCATGTGGCGACACACGGCCGAGGCAAGGGGGAGTGAGAGAGGAAGAAAAGGTAGACTCAACTAGCTAACATTAACCTAACATAACATTAAGTTGGATAGATTTTTATTACCTATTGATATTCACTCCGACTGCTGGCGTAGCGCTGAACATAGTCATAACAGAAACAATGTGAAGGTGAAGCTGGGGTTCCACCACAGATTTGATTTACTATTTGAACACTACAAGGCAAAACACAAGGCACGACAAGGCAAACACAACTTAAACATAACCATTACACAAGAGCTTCAGCCATCATTGCTTTACAAGACATACGTCCTGTAAGAAGAGCTACATCTTCAGGACAGACTGGCGGCTATAGTGACTATCGAAAGTGAGAGACGGGCCAGCGCTGGCTGATTAGCATGCTAACTTCAGTATATGAAAAGAGATAGAGACAAAGAGACAAGAATTAACACTGGTGTTTCTCTCCACCTCTGGAGACAGCTGTTGGTGTGTAAAGGAATGAAGTTTGGTAACGAACTCACAATGTTTCTTCTAGACTGGTCAGTAAACAGCTGCTAATGCTAACGTTAGCTATGCAGCAATAGCAAAACTTACAAATAGCTCATCTAACAGTTAGATAGTATCTGATACAAGTATTTCAAGTTTTCTGAATTTCTGGTGTTATTACTTTGAATTTTTTTTTATTCAAACTGAAAATGTGTTCAGGACTGCCAAAGATACATTCAAGGTAAGTTAGAATCAGTGTTGTTGTTACATAGCTTGTCCACCAGAGAGCACTGCTTGTTTTTTAATTGCAAAATGTTCCAGTCAAGCAAGACATGAACTGATTTTTTTAACAGCCAAATTTAATGTATCATTAAGAATAATGTTTGTGTTTATGTAAAAAAAAAAAATGTATGTCAGGGCGCGTTCCATTTAGGCTCCTTAGAGCTCCATCCTCTTCCCCCTAACTTTCCTGTCTGTCTGTCTTTCTATCATCATAATAAAGGCGAAAATACCCCCGAAATAACTTCATTAATTAATTAATATCAGCTGATATACTGTAGTTCTTAAATATATATATTAGTATTAGCCACCAGTATCAGTCAGGCTGTAGTGATCTCCCTATCTATGGCTGTTTATTGAGTTTCTGCTTGTGTCTTTTTAGCTATAACTGCTATTGCTGCTCATGCTATCTCCCCTTATGAACAAACCAAAAAACAAAGACTAGGTGGTTGATACATGAATGGGCTGCTGGTTGAATCACTACTGCTTTAATAGGGATCTTTATTTCAAAATAAATGAGCAAATTACCATGTGAGTGTACCTGAGCAGTAAGGCGAGAAACCCCTGAGCACGTGGGAAAGCCTGCAGGGGATAGTCAGGTCCGGCTACACTGCTACAGCTGGGTTAACATCACATGAAAAATGAGCTGGTGTGGCGGACCTAGCCCTGAACCTTCCCTGGTCCTGCTGGGTGCTGAAGTGGCTCAGAGTCTCAGTGGCAGATTGCATGGGGCAGCAGCAAGCAGACGGTCAACAATGGGCACCAGTGTGCATCTTCCATTAATCCCACAGCATTTACAGTCACCCAGCGGTGCCAGGCCCAATGACCAATGGCGGACCAGACTGCCAGTCCAACGGCGCCACCCTGCTGCCCTCAACACATTCATCTTCCCACCAGGGAGGCTGAGACCGCCAGACAGACGCAGACAGCAGAGACAGCGATGAAGACAAAATGAGAAGGAAAAGGACAATGGGAAAGAAGGAGCAAAAGAAAGTAGGGATAGAGATGTAGAGAAGGAGAGGTTAAGAGTTTTCAAACACAAAAAGGAGAAAAGGGTGTCAGAGGTAGAGAAAAAAAACATGGAGAGGAGGAGAGAGGAAACATGAAGGAAAAAAAACTGACAAAGCAGCTCAGTCTTTTTATCACCCGCTGTAACTGATTAAGGAGGCCCCAGGATCTTGGCAGAGGTGCAGATCTAAGGCTGGAGGAGGAGGAGGAGGAGTGAAGGGCAAGGAGGAGTGGAGGCACTGCACTACATCAGCCTTGGGATATCCAACCAGTTAGACTAACCTTTACCACCAAGAACTCCCCCTACTCTGGATAGTAACTGTATCATCTGTATTGGATGGAGGTGGGATTCACTCATCAAAGGAAACCTCCCACCAGTTAACCCAAGTTCTTCGCTAGTTTGCACCAGAAATACTAGTCTGGTAAATAGTTTATTAATGTACAACTCCAGTTAACTAACTTAAGCCTCTAAGATGTTACATAGCCACCGCATAGCACTGCTAATGTTAGCCACACTGGGGATACCAATAAAACTGTGCTCAATTTTGATCGTTTTCTGATTGCTTTCTTACTTTTAGACTAGTCGAGTGGTCTGAATTTAAATTTACTTTTCATCAACAGGGAAATTAGTACGGAGGCCCTGAAAGGCAATTACATATTTCTTTTTTTTTTGCTGAAATGAAAAAAAAAACTTAGAAATTGTTTGATGTGAAAAAAAAAAAAAAATCATTTGCCACATTCAAACACACACAACAGAGACAGACCTGATGGAGTAGGGACAGGTGAAGGCTGTTTCTCCGTCTCTCTGGTCTGCCTGAATTTGCAGCAGCCGTCCAATCACCTTTATCAGTCCCTGGGCATTGCTGTTGACAGTTCAAGTCAAAAACAGGACACACAGAGAGGAGGTCAGGATCCAATCCAACGTCTACTGGTGATTTTTCTTTTTCTCAGGCTTCAACTTAAAGGACAATTCTTGGTTTATTGCAAATTGACTAGTTTTCTGATCTGATTGTCTGATCCCTTGTGTGACATATCTTTAGTGATGTCACTATGTTCCCATATCTAAGCTATTAACTTGGTGACTACAATATTATTAATAGTGACAGGAATAAGACCAAGTCTACAAAAATAAGTTGTATTAAACTAGAATACAAAAGGTCATAATCACTGCTGAACTCATCTAATGACAGACACAGTCAGGTTTACTGTGTGAGACACACCTGGATTAACAGCTGACAACAAAATCATCCTGCAGTTCAATCTGTGACAATGTTGCTGCTTTGCCATAGTTACTGTATGGATATTTGCATGTTGTCTATTGAGCCTTCAATTTGTGACCTCAACAATAATGGAGAGTGGTGAAGGTAGGGTTAGCTTAAAGGTTCTGTAAATGAGATTTTAAACAACAATACAGCAGCAAACAGCTGTTTTCTATATATGTGATAGAGTGGAGTAATGGAGTAATGAGCAGAGAACAAAGCCACACTGAGTCACAATCAGAGTTTCTCTGTTCTTTGTTTTGGTAACCAGCCTGGGAAAGTGCATTTTTGCATTTGAGTCCGTCCTGTTAAACCGTTGGCTTTCCCCATGTTTAGGCACTGCCCACACGTGAGATGGCTCAGTGCAGTATGCAGCGTTCAGGTGAGAGCAACCTTCCATGATTTCCTCCACTGAAGAAGAAATCACATTTTCATCTAAAAAGGCCTCAGACAAAGAAAGAGACAAGACCAGAGCACAAGAGTTTTGGCTGAGGACTACTGGCCGAGATCCTGGTCAGCTGGTGGACTGTCAAAACATCCATTAAGTCTTTACCGGCTCCATCAATGTCATTCGTGTGGCTGGTCCTAGCAGATCAATCCAAGTCGGAATTTCTTTCCCAGTAAAGAAGCATTTTTTTTGGTCTGAGATGCTGGTGGTCTAGTGCAATATCTAGTGGCAGTGACGATCGTTTACAGAACCTTTAAATACAATGATGCAGATGAACAGAAGAGATTGGTGATGGTGGGAGTGTTGTGTACCTAGCAGAGGGTAGCAGGTTGAGGACACTGTTGAGGACGTAGTGCAGGTCTGCGTGGCCCTGATCCACCAGCAGCACCACGGCATCACAGCAGGCTGAACACACCCTAGCACAGTCACTGCAGCATTGCTGCCATAGAGCCTCCAATGCTGGGCCCTGGTCAGACAACCAAGGTTTAAATCCAGATTTAGCTCAAAGGCATCAAATAAATAACTCTTTACTGTCAAACATATTGCATACAGGTATCTACATATTGTAATTGGGTTCTTGAATTTAGTGACAAGCGATTCTTAACAGTTCCACCTGTTCACCACCTAAGAACATCACTCTGATGAGTAACTCACCTGAAGGGACGACTGTGTGATTTGTCCATTTTGCCCTTTTTCCTTTAGCACAGCAGCAACAAGATTTCTCACTGTCTGCAAAACAAAACAAAAAAAACAGACAAGAGATGTTTTACTCTTCACAGGGGCTGTGGTTACTCACAGCAACCTGGCCTGCATACTGCAGGTTCACAGAGACACTTACTGTATATGCATCTTTGCATCTAATCTTCAAATCATCTTTTCTGCATCTAATCCAATCTTTGCAAGAAACTTGAAATTTCGAGTCATAATATTACAAGAATAAAGTCGCAATATTACGAGAATTTAAAAGTATTTATCAAGATTATGTTAAATTTATTGAAAGATTTTGAGAGAAAAAAACATAATCTTTAGTATTTTTAGTAGTATAATAGTACATAAACCAATCAAACAGGTGAAAGGACAGTCAGTGTCAGCCTGAGCTGCTTCTATCAGCTGCTGTTTGTCTGTCTAACAATAGAATAGACTCAGATTCTTCACAATCTTTTCAATGTCCTGATGATGCTGATTATGATGATGATGATGATGATGATGATGATGATGATGATGATGATGATGATGAGCCAAAAGATGAATTATCCCTTATTTGTGAAACCTCTGCTAAAGAAGATCTTCACAGGATGCTCCACACTCCTCATTTTAAAGCTTCTGATATTTCTCCTCTAAAACAACACGCAACCTACAATTACAACTTAATTCTTATTATATTATGACATTTTACTTGAAATATTATGATTTTATTCTCAAAATTACAACTTTATTTGGGTAATATTATGACCGAATTCTCAAAATTTCCGATTTCTTTTTTCCTCAATGTGGCCTTAATGCTTTTTACAGCCACCTTAAAGCAGACAAAAATGCAACTGGAATTATCAGGCAGGCCATATATTATTGCTGGTGGGCCATTTTTGGTCTGCAGGCCGCCAGTTGTGAACCACTGTTTTAAAGTCTACTGTGGTGGGGTATGACTTAAAAGTGATGAAAACACAGGCACTAGTGTTGAGACTAGAATGTGTGGCAACTTGTGTGAATTTAATGAATTGAATTCTTTTAAATCCATTGTTGAATCAGTTTTAAAGCTGTATTCATGGATTTTTGTTGTCTACTCAGGAACAGTGCAACAAGCCGCAAACACAACCAGAATCAAATGGAGGCAGCCCTACCTGTGGAGTTTCTGTCACAGTCTAGTCTTGACATGAGTCAGCAGCTTACCTCTGCTTGTATGACGGGGCTGGGAAAATCAAATCGTGCCTTTAAACTCTCCATCACATCTGCCGGTCATACCTGAGAACAGAAGGAAACAACTCCGTTAGAAATATACCAAGGTCCAAGCAGAGCACAAGACCAGATGAAGATAGCTTAGGAGATCAAAATGAGCCTCTTTAAAGATAATTGTGAAAACTTGATTATATCAGAGTTTCAGGTTATTGAGTGTCATTGTATGTGTCTGAGTAGTGGGTGGAATTTGCAACCCACCTGTCAAATTTTGCTGATCCTAGGTCTTATGGTTTTTATTGTACAAACAATTTTAAAGAGAAAAAAAATATTACACTGTAAAAGTTTTGAAGTCAATTTTTTAGTGGAGGTGTAGAAACAATACATAAAGGTCACACACCAAAATTGACACGTTATTTAGCAGGTGTTGCTATAATAATCAAAATGGCCAGGCCTAGAGTCAAAATACTTTTGTCATGTCAATCTTTCTATTCATTTATATCTTCTGCTCTAGACATGCCAAATTTTCAGGCCATTGTCAAAAATTTTAAGTGAAAGCAAAATGAACTAGTATTCCAGTTCTACAGACAATGCTGCCAAAAAGTTATCTCAGAAATTTTGACACATCAAAATTTAGAAATTACATTTTTAAACCTTTGTGTTTAAGTTCAATTTCACATAAACGCTCATAAATTAAATAAGCTAAAGCGATTTTAACCAGACCCAGAGCACATGTATGGATGCTAGGTCTGAGCTTGGCAAAGCCGTCTTGAGTTATTCTGCCACTAGGGGGCGCCATCAATGCCAAAAGTTTATATCTCACAATTAGATGTACAGATAAAGTGGGCGTGGCCTAGTATTTCTCAACATTCCACCTTCCAAACTTGAAACAATCAAAATAAATCACCCATACCTCCCACAGAGCTGAAATCTTTTCATCACATCCACTGAATGGTGACAAAATGACTTTACTGCAGCTATGGTCAATTCATATTTCCGATTTTAAAAAGTACAAATCTGAGCATTTTACGCTATATTGGAATATTCTTCCTTTTGGGGGCGCCATCAATGCAAAACGTTTAGAGTTCAATGCATGGCCCTCAGCCCCCTCAAGTTGGACCCCTAATAAAGAGAACAAAAACAATAGGGCTCCAGTAGCTTTGTTGCTTGGACCTCTCATAAGCTAAAAAACCTTATTCAGGAATTGTAATTGTGTTAGTATTAGCATTTCTGTTCTTTCAGTTCCATTAAATCAACGCAAGACAACACTATGAAGGAAAACTTTCAAAGGGGAAATTTGGTGATACCCTCTGTTAAACTCAAGAATATCACATGTCAGTGGAGCTGAATTCAGCTTTTGAAACAGAAGCTAATGATGCAGCCACCTGTTGCTTCATAGCACTAATGGACAAGACTCCAGAAAGACGCACTGCTTGGAGGTATCCATGAACTGACCCTTTGAAAGCTGAACCCTGCCATCAGTTATCAAATTATTGGCCTGCAGCCGTGACATAACTTTGCATTAAATTATTCACAGGTCATCAGTATACATCCCCTCTGTCTAACTCACAATTTACTAAGCAGATGAGTGGCGCATCTCAGGTTGTCTCATTAGGCCCAACAATAAGGTGTGGTGACCAGCCTGTGCACCACAGCTGCTCACCTGTTGAACCAGGTGACGTTTTTATCAGGAAGGTTTGACTGTTACGAGGTTTCACCAGGGACATCATCATTTTTTATTCATTTCCTTTCAGTTACTTCTGTTCAGTTTTGGTGTTGACAGAAAATGTGTCTGCTGCATGAGAATCAAAAACTGTTGAACTTTAGCTAATTTTGGAATTAATCTTTAATGAGCCAATTTAAAATGAACCTAGGTTTTCTTTAGACAAGACTTTAAGCATTGAAATTCTTAACTTTTTTTAAATTCATACTTCTCAAAGTAAGGTCTGGGTATCATCGGATAATCAAAATCGTAAATCTGTAATTTGTTTTAAAAACAAAATGGAAAAAAACGTTTTTTCGTGCCAGACTCAAAAAAAGAAAAACCAATCAAAATGGTCAGTTTTTGGTGATTGCTTTTATCATTAGTTTGTTTTTGAAACCAAAAACCGAATTCATATAAACAAAAAACAAAATCATCTATTCATTTTTTGGTTCCATACAAAAAGCCTGAAAATCGAATTCAAATTTTGGTTTCGCAAATTCATTTTTTCATTTCTCATTTGGAAGAGACAGTAGGAAGAGGAAGTGAAGTGTAAAAGGGATTTTTGTTTTAAATTACAAATGAATCACAAATTATTTGATGATACCCAGAACATATCACAAAGGTTTGGTATGTGCACCAAAACTCAGGTGACATATTAGCCCTGGTTTTGAAGCCTACAAATATTTTTATCAATTTTAAACACCAGAAATGTTTTAAAGGTTTAAAGACATGTTTCGACATTCTACAAAGTACCTGAGCAATCCCCAACAACTCCAGAGGCAACCTTTAATCAATAACAATTTTTGATAATTGGTAAATGATTTAAGTCATGTATCAAGAAGTAGTGTCGAGCAATGGCTGTTTCCAGCGTCTGAGATGTGAGGTTTTTTGATTTTTGATTCTTTGAGTTTTGGACTGTTCATTCAAAGAAAGCTATTTAAAATCTGGTAAACTATGGGGGATGCATAAAAACATTCAGTATTGTGATTTTAGGTTGATATCACTGGTTGCCCATTATCTGCAAATAATGAACAAGTATCCCATAAGTTTTTATTCCTGGCAATATCTTAGGCCCCAGCTACTTTGGGTTAAACTCTCTATGTAAACTGATATATTGTTCTAAGGTTACCACAAGGAATATGAGCCTCATGTAGCCCAACCCCCCCACCACCCTCTTCCCAAATACAGGCACACAACCCAACCCCCCTGCTGTTATCTAAGTGATAAGCCAGCCTGCTGTGCTGTACTGTCCACCACCCTGTTACTGCACAGTCTACACCGGCTGCCACAGCTTCACGGCCACATGGACAGGTAAGTCAGCTGCACCTGCTAATATACAGCTACGCTGCTAACAGCCAGCTATGCTGCTAACACACAGCTACACTGCTAACACACAGCTTCAAGTGCTTATGAATTGATATTTATAGAAAATGTGGCTGTTGATAATGCCACTGCTGCTGTCACTTCCTTTATATCCAGCACTCTTTAGCTTAACAGTGTTTAAAATGAATAGAAGATGAGGAGTTAGACATGATTGGTGGTGGAGGAGGTTTACTTTTCTATGACACTAGTGAAAAAGTCATTCACTGTACATATTTTCTGTGAGGTCTATGATTTAGAAGAACCTGGCTTCTTCTCTCTCAGTGGTCAGCTAAAGCTTAAAAAACTTTACACACCAAACTGTTCCAGGAGTTTCTGCAGCATATTTACCTTACAGCAAAACAATATAGGCTGGCCTGTACTGCTAGGTCTGCATTAGCAATACAAGTGAGGACAATGCTTGAACAGTGTTGAGCCAACAGTGCTTTAGAAATGACACCGCTGAGGCTTTACTGTGTGACACTCTGCCGGACAGGCACATGGGATTTTTGACAGCCTTTCAGGTGGAACGCAACACATTCTTTCACAGCCATATTGGAAATCATAGCAGCACAGAACACAGCCAGGACACATGACGACAAATTGGTTTACTTAATTCATTCATTCATTCATTCATTCATTAATCATCACTTCATTAGATATATCTTACTAGGGCTGGGCAATTTTGAAGGTACCACTTTACAGTAAGACTACCCTTATAAAGGATTTATGAATGCTTTATAATTAGGTTATTAATTCGGTTAACACTTTATAAATCATAAATAAACTATTATAAACAAGTTATAACGCAGTTTTCATACATTGATGCAGGCTCACTGTTTGGCAAGATCAAGTTAATACTTACTACTCATTAATCTTACTAATGAGTTACTACCATTTATAACTGGTAAGGAGCCTTATGGTAACTCATTAGTAAAAAGTGATGTGTTTTACACTTTACAATAAGACTCTTTTTTTAAATGTTTGTAACTGAGAATAAATGGTTGCAAAAATTAGATGAAGAAACATGAAGATGGATGGAGGGAGGATAACAGAGATGTGAACAGTGGGACAAAGAATGGGTGAGCATCTCACCAAGTAATGGAAGGTTACCACCTGTGTTGCACCTGGAATGCTAAAGTCCTAAAGAAGAGAACAACCAGCAAAAGCATCTCTATGTTAATCTCCTTTGTGCAGAACAATCTGATCAAAACCTGTGTGAATGAGGACGGCTGCTGATACATGTCAAGGTAAACAATACTTAGAGGATGAATCTGGTCATGTGATATAATTTTGACCACTAAGACGCTGACGGCAGTTAATTGCTAGTAACTTAACAAATATGTGATGAGCAAAGAAAGCTCAGTAACTAACGAGATATGAGGCTTAACAGTACAGAGACATGTGGGCTCACTATTTGGCAAGAGCTTATAAATGATTTAGTGTGTTAACAAGTTAATTACTAAAATGGTTATAAACCATTCATAAAACCTTTATAGGGATAGTCTTGTTGTAAAGTGGTACCAACACTTCTGTGGCACATTAAATAGTCTTGTTATAAAAGTTTTAAAACGCAAACAGTCTACAAAAACTAAACCAAAGAGCTGAGTGTGAGGGAATACGTCTCTAGATAATGTGTTTCAACGTCTGGTGCTGGTGTGTTTTTGACATTTTTATCAATGACAGGTTGACCTTTCGCTGCTTCTTGCTTATTTGTTGTTTTATTTTCACTGCCTTTTTTACTTTTTGGTGAAATGACCATTTTGGCTGAAGGCTCAGCCTTGTTTTCTGCTTTGGACGGATTGTTGCCCATTATACATCAGTACATCTAACAAACATACATAGAATTCAATAACATTTCAGCTGCATCAAGGTCTCCAAGCTTCATTTCTTTTTCAGTGTTGCTGGTTTGAAGGTTTAGACAAAATCAGAATATATTTTGTCCTGTGTACACAGCATTTTTTTTTTTATCTCTATTGGCACCCTAGCTTCCGGGATCAGAAATCCAACGGAGCCCCTATATTTCCCACTGGACAAAGAGCAGGTGATCCCGGATCTTGATTTTAAACCAAGTTGATCTATTTCATTCTACACCAAAAACGTCTTTTCTATAGTTTAAGGGAGCTGTCCCAGAAATCACAAAACAGCCACTGTAGTGGCACAGCGACAAACACAGACAAGGTAAGGCATGACTTTAAAGTTTTGGACTTAAAAGGCTGTAGTTATATTGAAATCCTGACGTCAGATTGTTAGGGAAAGATCTTATCATCGGTGGTGAAGAAAGAGCACTGGAGTCCAGGATGTGTTATGCTGAGGGTGTTTACTGAAGCTTGGCCAAGGAGAAAGGAGGATTCATCAATACAGTCTCCTGTGCTTGATGTCACCACAAATCTGAAGAAGGAACCCCTAAGGATAGTCTTAATACACTTAGAGAGATTACTATATAGCTTCATTCCATAATTGATCAAATATCTAAAATAAGAGGAAGAAGAGGGATGTGCGAGTACACTATTGGTTCATTAACCGTAAACAAGGAAACATAACTATATTCGCCCAAGTGCTGATTCTTAGAACACCCAGCCACTTGTTACTGTCTATCCACAAGAGAAAATTCCCTCACATTGAGGATCTTCAACATGAGGATCCACTATATCAGAAACACAACCCAAGAAAATTCTTAAGAGGAAATTCTGATCAGGTGGTGTGTATACAGTCAAAACCAAAGACCCAAACACATCTTTGTAGCATAGAGTACTGTGGTATTACTATACATACTATGACACTTCTACTGGAGCTTATTCACTGGAGCACATTAGGTGTAAATGATTACTGTTGTGATTAACATCAACATGTGTTGATGATTATTGTTATGCTGCCTTACTTACACACCACATAAAATATTACTCAGTATTACTGATCCATCATGCTTTGCATTATGCTAGCACGAATTCTTATTCTTTAAACCATGTCGTTTGATACGATATATTTATGCGGAATTAAAGAATACGTCCTGCTCCGACAGAATATGCTTTCAAACGCGTTTTGTGCACTATAACATTTTGCTAATACGTGAGTGAAGATAAAAATGACAGATATTTCAATGGGGTTTACTGAAGCGAGTGCTTTCAAACTAGACGTGGTCCTGGTAATGGCTACGTGTCGCACATATCATTCCAGCCCCTAAAGACCTTTCTCACAAACCCGTGATGAACAAAAAGCTTCAACGCCCAGGGATAATTATTAGTAATTATAACAGAATGATATACAACAAACAAGTTAGCAAATTAAGTTAGCTGAACCGGCTAAGTATAGCTACACTTACGTTATCAACGCAAGATAAGACTAACTGACTGGCTGTACATTCGTAACAATAAAGATAGGTGAACTGTAACTACACTGCAGCAGGCTGACTAACGTGCTGTCTCAGTTAAACACTAGTGAAAGTTGAACATGTTGCTGGTCAAACTTTACCTCTTTCACTCAGCGTCCTGCAAACCGGCATGTAAGTACGGTGTGTGTCGAGGACCAAATTGGCAGAAACGAGCAGAACACGCAAAAAAGAAACCAAAAAAGACCTGCCCTGTCTTAACATCGAGGCCTATGCATTAGAATATAAAAGTAGCATGATAAAATTAGTACATGAGCAATTAATTGACAGTGTTTTTTATTTGGCAGAATTATCATTTTCCTATTTGAAAATAAGAATTAAGATTGGATTTTAAGTTTTTTATTTTATTTTATTTTATTTTTTTCATTTCAAAGTTGTCCATCTGTTTGTATGATATAAAAAAAATCTAATTCAAGCTAATTATAGACTGTTTTTGTCCACACATGGCTTTCATATAATTTTGATAGTTTATGCTATACCCAAACTTTAGATTTTAATATAAAATTTACTCTTAAGAGTTCACTGCATTGATATATAATGTTGAATTATTTTGAAATTATCTAAGGAAATGGCTGCTATTTAGTTCTAACTTTGACACTGTCCACTCTCAAATCTTTGAAATAAAACATTTTCTTTAATTGGAAGAGGAAAACATTCTTATGTAAAGTGGTCTTAATTTTCTGTTATTGCATTTAATTGTAATTGTCAATGAGCAGAATATAGATGTAAATATTACAGAAGAATATTTACATATCAATTTAATCGGATTCGTCAAAGCCACAGGAATAGATTTCACAACTAAACAATATTGTTTATATGAGCAATCCAACCATCCTACCATCTTCATCCATTAAATGAATTATAGCCAAACACCTGTCTCTGTGCAGCCCTATTCAAAATATACCTGTTATTCCATTGTGTAGAGTGAAATTATATTTATAGAGCATTTTCCGATGTACTCATACCTGCAGATGATAATCTGATAAAAGGCAATTCTGAGGGGTTTTCCCCTGGGACTTGAAGGCAACACAATTACAGGAAGGTTGCGGCTGCCTGATTGGAGGTCCGTGTGTCTGCCGCTCTGTTATTGGCCTTTTCCGTCTCGTGCTAAGGCTTGGCCCCAGCGGGTACACCAAGCTGCGCCTGCGCTCTACCCATCACAGCCATGAAGGTTGCGGAATTGAGCCAGAAAAATAACGGAAGTGAGAAAATTTTATATTCAAAATAAAAGAATGGAGCATAAACGTAATTTGTCATGTCATGAAGCTGTTTCTTTATCCATGTAGCTCAGTGTGGCAGCAGTTAAATAATTCATAGCCAGTCGCTAGAGGGACTTTAAAGTGTTGAGAGTCAGTTTCATCATACTCATGAAAAGTTTCTCAGAAAAGTTACACCACAAACTAGCAACACTGAACAAGCATCCCATGTGCTTTTGGATCGCTAGATTAGGCCTATGATAAATACAAATAAACTTTAAATTTAAAGTAACATGAGTGAATGAGTGACTGATTTATTGATCGTTACAGTCATTCCAAGGACTCATTCTCAATAATGAGTACCACAGACAGGTAATAAGACACCACAACAAATGGTGAATTTCTGTTTTCAGTCATGTTTTATGAGGTAGCATACAATAGTTACGGTTGTGACTATCTATGGGATGATTGCAGTATTTTTAGACTATATGTAAATTTTAGGTCACCAATAAATAAATGAACAAGTGAATAAAGTATTTTGCCAAATTTTATTCCTTGTAGTTTTAGGTGTACTTTGAAACTACCTACACTACCTATTTCCATTTTGGTAAATAAAAGTTTAAATATAAATGTGAAAAATTATAATTTTTAAACAATTTTAGAGACTTTGATTTTGGTGCCTGGTGAAAATTTTCAGAAGCTTAAAGGGGGGGGGCTTGGACTTGCCTTGGACTTTGAAATTAATAAAATGCAGATACCATGGGATGTCAGTGCGTATTAATTAATAAAGAAAAATATATCTTAAGATGTGTTCTGTAATTAGGCTCGATCGGTTTAGCGGTATTCATAGCACATCTTTACCGCAAGGGATTTATTTTGAAAGCCAAGAGCGGGAAATGTCTCGGTAATTACGGGTGATTGACAGCCGGCGAGCCTTTGAAAGTCTTGAGTCTGACTTCAGTTCAGGAGAGACCATGTCCGCCGTCATAGGCAAGCTACACTCACCTCTGCTCTCATTTAAAACTCATTCTTCATGAAATAACAGTAACTTGGGGCCTGCAGGATGGCCAACTCGGTGAGTAGTCTGCGAGAGAACTCGCCCGCCTGTCCGGTCTAACGCAGCATGTTTGGACGTTTTGCTGTTTTTGTCACACCGGAGGAGTCGGTGGCTTTTAGTCCGTAACGAGGATACAGCTAGCTAGAGCCGATACGTGCCGCTATTCCTGTATGAGCTTTGTAATGCAAAATTCCCCTGAAAAACATTGCAGTTTTAATATTTTGCTGCTCACTGGCAAAAATGTGTGTTTTGCTCATGCGTAAATTTAGTAGTTACATCCGCACTTTAATTCGGCATAATGTTGCACACAATGCATAAAGAATAAATTTTAAAATCGGGTGTGATGTCAACTTTCTCCAGGGGTTTTCTTGTTAATCCCATCACATTGCATTTGAACAGCTGTGCAACATTATGCATTTGGAGCTAATTTCAGTTGTTTAAAGTGTGTGGAAACGTGGTGATTCAAGCAGGGTATTTCGAATTTTCATGTAGGTTCAAGCTGACAGTACAAAATGGTAAGTCAGGTTTTCCAAATGTGTCGCAAAGTGACATTAAATCTGAACATTTTTGAACGGAGTTCTGCTTGCAAGAGTCAAGGAAACATGATAAGGAAACATGATTGTTTTAAAAAACAGCATATCAGTCCGTAGAAAGGGTCATTTGAACGTCGGCTTTTGGGTTTGTAGTTTCTCTGTAAATTGTGGTGAACATTTTCAGACTCTGTCAAACACGTGTAGTGCTGAGTTTTCAGTAACCCAACATCATTGTGTTTCACAGGGTGCTGTTCAGGTGAAACTAGAACTTGGTCACCGTGCCCAAGTCAGAAAGAAACCCACCGTGGAAGGCTTTACCCATGACTGGATGGTGTTCGTCCGAGGACCAGAGCACAGCAACATTCAGCACTTTGTGGAGAAAGTAGTTTTTCACCTGCACGAAAGCTTTCCTAAACCAAAAAGAGGTAAAAACCCGATTATTTCTGCTGCTGTGTTTGGTGTTTTCCTTTGCCCTGTTTCTGCAGGGCAGCTTGGTTTCATGTGTTGCTTCCAACTAATGAGCAGGGTTCAAACCCTCATATGAGCAAGCATTGTGTCCTTGATCGAGCCATGGAGTTGCTGCAGCAGACTGTGACCTCTGACATTGTGGATGGTGGCAGATAAAAGTGAATTTCCTTGTGTTTTTAAGTATCTCTCTGCTGTTAAAATAAATTGCTCAAATGCACATTGTGGAGAAAAGACGGTGGTTTTTGGTTCTTTGAATAGTGGTGCATTTAATGTCCTTCTGGAAAGTTTTTTCAGTGACAAATGACAAGTTTTCTGAGTAATTCTCAGACGACAGAATGAAAAGGTTGGAAATAATGTTTTATTGATAAAATGCATTTTGTGTTGTGTTGATGTCATTTTGGAGCATTTCAGCTTTTCTTCTAAATGTCACTGGATGTACATGTGTTGGTTTGAAACCCTGCCAGACAGAGGTAATTGCATGCAATGTTGCTTTTAGACATGAAATAGATCCACCCTGTATGTAAGAGCTGTTTGGTTTGGGGGGTATAAGTGTCGAGGCAAAGCAGTTACGGGTATAACTTGTGGATATTTACTTGGTTTTGGTTGATTGGTTGGTTGCAGGCCTGAGGGCGCTCAGTGAGCCTGAAATACAAGTACTGCCAAATAGGAAGTGTTTAAAATCAAGGTTAGACTGATAATTGCTTTTCATCATAAAATCAGCTGTGTGGTCTCCCCACCACAAACATATATGCACACATGCTACAGTGTAAGAAGAACACGGTAAAATGTACAGTAACTAGCTGGCAGCAATTAGCAAGTAAGTTGCCGTAGTACATTCCACAGTATGCTTTGTGTAAATTTAACCACAGTACCTAGAAAATACTGTAATCTTTATTACAGTAATAATTACAGTACTGTAACTGTCATCACAGTAATAGGGTGATGTATGGTTTATCAGGGGAAATATTAGACTACTGTAACAAGCATTTTTGCATTCATTTTAATACTGTAAATTGATAACTAAAATAATTACATACCAAAAACTAAAACGAAGACACTGTTTTCGTCGAAAAAAATTAATTTATTGTATCACTTCATTGAACTTTCAACGTTTTACATTTGATAATACATAGGCACTAAACAGATCTTATTTTGTGTTTTTCATTTTGTAAACATTTATTTGTAAATAACACTACTTTCCTCAACATAGTAATCCTTCCTCTTTGTTCAAGTTACCCTGACAATGTAAACTGCATGGCCTGGAATTATTTTGTCACTTTCAAGCATATTTAGAATTTCAAAAGTGATTGACATAATATCTGGCTCTTAGTTAATTTGACTGTACTTCTAGAGGCAAATATAAAAGAGTCACATGTCTCCTAGTAACATTGGTTAGGTGTGAAAAAACGGCACAGTGTAGAAAACTGTCGAAGATATTTTCAATCAATTTTTACAAACGAAACAGTAAGTTCCAAGCAGTGGAAGTGAGTAAATGTTCAGTTAAAAGTGGAAAGGTATAAAAATGCGATAATGAAATTTGAACTACAAACTGAAGCAATAAAAAAAGCAATAAAATGTCCAAGACTGACTTTACTGTTCCTGAACTGTATTCTTCTCCCTGAACTGGATACTTCTTTCTGTGATCCTCTTCCTGAGCTGGAGTCTTCTTCCCTGTAATGGAAGGATAAACAGGAATTAGTTACTGATGTAGAAATTGAAAGTGCAGTAGCATAGTACAACAGCACATAACACACACCAATAAACACAGTTGTGTCTCCATGGCTTCAGAGGATAGTACAGTGACTTACGTTCATTTCGTTGGGACTTACTCTAAGCTTAACCATAACTACAACTTGCCTACCCT